GACAATGTCGATTGTGCGGCGGCCGTGGGAGGTTGCAAGGATGAGGGCGGGGTCGATGGAGTGTTCGTTTCCGAAGCTGTTTGGTTATTTTCTTGTTAGTATTTGACATATGTGACATTGTAATATGAGGAGGGGATAATTAAGGAAGGTACCGTGTCCAGTGGGCGATTACGGCGTTCGTGCTGTCGATGAGTGTTCCTGGATCGAGCTGTGTTAGCTGTGGGAGGCGGGGCAGCGCGGGGGCGGGGAGGGGTACCGTCGAGGTCGAAGAGGATCGCGGCGTATTTCTTGAGGATGGGGGCCATGTTGAGTAGTATATGATGTAGTTATTAGTAGTAATAGCTATCTAATAGTGGTGATAGTAGCTATAAGTAATAGTAGATCTATAACAGAATTGATTGAAGAAGAAGCAGTATATATAGAAATCCAAGTAGTAGTACGTAGCTGTAGTAGAAATCTATCGTCTATTGTTCAGTATCCAGTACCAGAAAGAAAGAAAGCGCAACAATTGCGAGATTTAAACCCCCCTCCTGCTTCCAGAACGAAGAGAAAAAAAAACTAGGCTACCCCCCGGCGCCGGCCGGACAGATACGTGGAAGCTTCTCTCTTCTTACCCCTGCATCAACCGCCGTTCCCACAACAGCAATCTACCGCACTCGCTATACCGCATTTGGTGATGCATCCGCACGCGCAGCCGGGTAACAGCACCGGCCCTGACGTCGTGCCAAGAGGGGCCCTACACTCCCCGCCAGACTGCCTGAGAGAGCTGAGAGCTACCAGACTGGGCATCGAACTATCACACACACAAAACACATTTAGCCAATATGGACGAAACAGAAAACAAAGAAGCCATTCACGCAGCCTGTCGTGAAGGACGCTGTACATCCCCCTCTCCTATCGCTCGCCCCCCGGCTGAATTGTAAACTAACAGCTATTATTATCGTGATATCAGTGGCGGCGGTCGAGTCGCTCCTGTCCGCAAACCCAAAGCTGGCACACCGCCGCGACTCGGACGACCGTCTGCCGATCCACTGGGCGTGCTCGTATAACCACCTCCCGATCGTGCAGGTGCTGACGCAGGTCAAAGACTTTGACATTGACGCTGTTGACGCGAGCGGCTGGTCGTGTCTCATGATTGCCTGCAGCGTCAAGGACGGCGACGACCTTGTCGAGTACCTGCTGAAGCGGGGGGCAGACGCGGGGCTAAAGAGTGAGTCCCTCCCCTTATAACAGCCCCTAGCATCCTGTCTACCATGCTAACTCACAGCACACCAGACAACAACGGCCAAGTACCCCACCTCACCCCCATCCCCTCCCCCCACACCCACTAACACCAACAGACACCCCTCCACTTCTGCGCCTCCAAGACACGCCTCTCCACCGCCCACCTCCTCCTCTCCCCACCGTACAAAGCCTCCCCCCGCATCCCCGACACGCACTCGCAACTACCCCTCCACCGCGCCGCCGCCGTCGGCTCCCTCCCCATGGTCAAGCTCCTCCTCGACCACAACTCCCCCCTAAATAGCAGCGACCGCAGCGGCTTCACCGCGCTCCACCACGCCATCGCCGAAGGCCACGGCGACGTCGCCATCGAGCTCCTGCGCAGGGGCGCCGACAGCTCGCGGCGCGACAGCGACGGCACGCTCGCCATCGCGCTGGCGCCGGATCGCAAGGTCAGGACGTGGATCCTGGCCGAGGCGGAGAAGGAAGGGGTCGAGGTGGTCACGGCGTAGCATGGAATGTTGTATGTAGGTATGCATGAAATTCCAGTTGGCTTTTTTTTTGCGTCGTCTTCGTCATGGAGCGTCACTCGGTGTGGCTGTGGTGGTGGTGATCGGCGCTTCTGCCCCCATCCCCGAAGGGGGAAGGATCGGTGGCCGGAATCGGTGGCGGGTGGGTGGGTATTTGTAGTAGTCCCCGGCCCCGGGAGGGAGGGGGGAGAGGTGGCGAAATGAGGTGTGATGTAAGGGGGTTGAGCGCGCGGGGCTCGAATGGTTCCGGGTGAGGTAAGGGGGGTTGGGTGGTGTCGTTGGATTGGAATGATGCGCGTGTGTGTGTGCGCCGTTGGGCAGGTGTGTGGGTGATGCTAGATCGATCTAGACTCTACAGATTCTTGCATAGGGTATCATTGGTAGGTGGTGCAGACACAATATCGGATGCCAGCCAGGTGGCGGATGCAGGTACAGATGGTTTCTGCTGTGAATTGTACTGTTCACTCTCACACCCCCGGCCCCAGGATTCATCGTCGCGGCGTAGAAAGAAAAGCCCGCATACATGATATCTATCGCCCTCCGCCACGCATGCCCTATAATTAATATTTGTATATACTGCCGCGCCCACAATTACCATAAACCCAATGCTATCCCTCACCATCATTGATACAAATAAATCCCTACTCTAAAAAACTTAGTAGAATATCTCGATCGAGTGATACTTCATGATCCTAGCTTCGCCACCACATGGCTCCTTTATGGCAGTATCTTAGGGAGGGCATTACAAGCGCGGTGGGGCGACGGTATGGAATAATACTTGGGTACTAGGTTTCAGACCTAAGATAGACAAGCCTCAGTGTTTCGACGCCAATCTGGGAGTGGGTCGGGTGCGAGTGATCCTTCATGAAGCTGAAGTCGCCTCGATTGTAATACCGTATATACAGGAAGATTTTCTTTATACATGGAATATACCACCGGGTCTCTAGACCTACGTTATGATATGGTCTAGTGCAGGATATAGTGAGACCTGGACTGGTGGTCATGGGGAATCACTCGGTTGGTTCGTTTTTCCGTATGGAGGCAGGGAAGGCCGGGGTATTGGCAGTATACCAAAGGGAGCTACATGGTTCATTTGGTTTCTAGCTACTTACCTTATAAGAGCGGTATCTATGAGGGTGCGGAATAGCTTATTTTTCTCCCGTGCGCGGCTCTCACTTCAACGTAGTTCACCCAATTGCAACCCAGACGTAGACAGATCGGCCCAACACTAAACAGAATATTCCCCCATGGCAATATCATCAGTCAGCCACCAAGATTAGACTACATTCCTCCCCGGCCATCTATCTCGGGCGTGGCGGCTTCTTCCAGGAACAACCCGCGACCCGCAACCTAAACAGACCTATCCAATGTTTTATGATCTCAGCAATTAAATTGAAGTTACCCATCCCTGCGATACGTAGGGGAATTTTATCTTCTGATATCGATGCACTCCTTGTGGTAGCGATCTAAAGCAGGTCACATTCGAAATTCCTTTACTCCCTATAGATTCCTCCCCCCTGGGTCCGCTCTATCAGGTTTAAAATGCCGGGTTTTGTGATAGATCTGGTTTCATGATCATGGAATATCACTCGCACTCAAAAGCTAAGATATATGGTGCGCACACTCTTAAAGGTGATATGGCGGCATACGGAAGTGGAACAATTGTGGCTGTAATAGGGCCTCATGGGCCAATAAGAGGGCCCATTTCTAGCCATTCTGCTGCATTACTGCCACGGATCAGTCAGGTTTGCTTTTCTGAGGGTATAGATGGGTATAATACTGTTCCACTTTGTTCAGTCTTGGCGCTTTTTACGTACAAAAACAGTCAGTTTCAATCTCTAATAACTTCATGACCATGATAGATATTAAAAATCTGGCAAAATAGAACCAAAGTTCATCACTATTTCTATACTTCTATTTTATGGAGCGGTAAATGTGTCAAAAGTAATTTTACCAACAGTAGTAAATTATTTACCACCGGTGGTATAAGCACTGAATTTCAGTCATTGTATCTGCACGCTATCCTACATTAGTACATTTCCACCGGTATAAACACTGACTTTCGGTCTTTATGCTGCGCTATACTAAATAAGTAAATGTTCAATCATTAATGCCAAAACTTATGAAAATTTCCCACCGGTGGTGAAATACCGCCACCGATGGTGAGATTCCCCACTGGTGGACAATTTTCATATATATTGGCATTATATGGCCCCTTTTGGCCAAAAGGTCTGTGCTTTTATCATAAAAATTAGCATTATAGGGTATAAATACTGGTATTATTTTCACCACCGGTGGTAAAATAATTTACTACCGTTGGTAAAATTACTTTTGACACATTTACCGCCCCATACTATTTTGCCACATTTTTGATATCATCTTTGATGAAGTTATAAGCGATTGACTTTCCATCAATTTTGGTTACCTTTAAGAGTGGGCGCACCATACCCTGCTTTAAGTCATTCATTGGGGGCATTCTGAGATGAAACATGAGGATTTGGGGGGGGGGGGGGGTGTAAAGGTACATGGCGGTAGGAGAGGACAGAGGAGTTTCTTAAGTCTGATGACTTGAACTAGGCTGTTTTTTTATTATTATTTATGTCTAGCGGTTCTAAGTGGGGGAAGGATAGTGTATTTGCGGTTAACTCCAGCTGTCCTGAGGGTAACGGCTGGTTATGGGCGTACGCGTACATGTATGTACTTATGTTGTCGGTCATGGGATATGACTCTTTAGTTGTGTTTATGTGCTATGGGATGCAGTAGGTTATCGCTTTAGAGAGCTTGGCGGATCGAGCACAATTGTCACTCACCCGGCCGGGCCTAATGTGTCGACGAAGGCTTAGGCCTAGGTACTTAACTTCCATGTACTTTCTATCGATAGAGTATACGTAGAAGCCATAAACTCAGTAGATACAAAAAAAAAAGATAAGCAATGCAAGAGCTATCAAGTAATCCAAGGAAATGACTGGGCCACGAACAAAAGTGAAAGAAAAGAAAAAGAAAAAAAATGCTAAACGCTTCAAACCATGCATTCGACTAGAAGGCCTAAATACATAGTATTGGCTACAAAGAAAATAGAGAGAAAAGCACAACTACATGTAGTGGTAAAGGTTATAGACACAAAGGAAAGGTATAAATATAGATAGGAAATTACATACTCTAGGTAAGAAATTGACCTTCAGAATCATTTAGCATCGTCTGAGTGTGAGTCTGAGTCTGAATATGGTGCGTCACTGTCTGATACTAATATTAATTCTCCGCATTGCCTAGCTCGACCATCTCGCTGTTGCCCTTCCTCTCTGCAATTTCCGATGCCGCATGCCCAATATTATCCTTTTCCAAGATATCCGCCTCTAGCTCGAGTAGTAGCTTTACAGCTGCTTCATGCCCATTTTTAGTTGCCATGTGTAATGCTGTTTCTCCATACCCATTCTTTTCAAAGATGTCCGCCCCAAGCTCGAGCAGTAGCTTTATGGTTGCTTCATACCCCATTTCGGCGGCCGTGTGCAATGCTGTATTCCCTCTATCACCATCTTCTGAGGTATCCGCTGCATGCTCTAGTAGTATCACGAGTGCCCGACCTCCGTATTCGGATTCCGCCGCAACATTCAATGCCGTTTTTCCATCCGCGTCCTTTTCCCAGATGTCCACCCCACGCTCGAGTAGCAGACCAACCACACCTCTCGCGCCATATTCCGCCGCAAGATGTAATGCCGTCCTTCCTTTATCATTCGTTTCCGAGATGCTCGCTCCCTTCTCTAGGAGTAGTTGGACTACACCCACGTGCTCAAAACTTGCCGCAATGTGCAACGCTGTATCCCCAAGAATATTCTTTATTGAAATGTCCGCCCCCTGTTCGAGCAGTAGCCTTATAGCTACTTCATGCCCTATTTCAGCTGCTATGTGCAATGCTGTTCTTCTAAACTTATCTATATTCGAGATGTCCGCCACCCCCCGCTCGAGCAGTAGCTTTGTAGCTACTTCGTACCACCCTTCAGTAGCCGTGTGCGATGTCGTGTCCGCTATATGCTCTAGTAGTATCTCGAATACATCTCCATGTGCGGATTCTACCCCTTCGTATTCGGCTTCTGCCGCAAGATCCAATGCCGTCTTTCCATCCGCATCCTTTCCCCAGATGTCTGCGTATGCCCCACGCTCGAGTAGCAGCTTAACCACCTCTTCCAAGTCATATTCCACCGCAAGATGTAATGCCGTCCTTCCTTCCTTATTCTTTTCCGAGATCCTCGCTCCCTTCTCTAGGAGTAGTTGGACTACACCCACGTGCTCAAAACTTGCCGCAATGTGCAACGCTGTATCCCCCAAACCACCACTCTTCTTCGAGATGTCCGCCCCCAGCTCGAGTAGTAGCTTTACGGCTGCTTCATGTCCATATTCAGCTGCCACGTGCAATGCTGTTTCTCCATACTCATCCTCCCCAGAGATGTCCGCCCCCAGCTCGTGCAGTAGCTTTATGGCTGCTTCATGCCCATGTCCAGCTGCCATGTGCAACGCTGTCAGTCCGTCTTCCCCGGATTTCATAGCGACATTTGCTTTCTTCTCCAATAGTAATTGGACGACCGAACTGTGCCCTCTGGAAGCCGCCTTATAAACTTTCTCCCATCCAGTATTCTTTGGGATCGAGAAATCGGCGCCCTCTATCAGCACCCGAATCACTTCACAAACCCCTAAGATTGATGCTACGTGCAGAGGAAGGCAGCCTTTCGGATACTTCTCGAAATCATCATAGTCACCTTCCCAATAGTCACGTCTCCAGAGATAGACGACTTGCAGGTAGGAAGAGGTAGATCCGGGATTTGCGAGAAACCGGAGAAGTATGTCCACCGCTGAGTCCCCCAGTTCTCCACATTTATGGAGATGAGAAGACAAATTAAGGGCAGCATATTCAAAGAAAGGGTACGTCTGAAGCCTTTCCTTAATAGAATTCTTTGATTCACAGGCCCCTGAGGAAAATGTATCGAAGGAGAGGAAAGTTACGCAAGTCATCGCAATTGTGAAGGCCGCATCGCCAGGAATAATAGATTTCTCCTGGAGATATTCCTGAACCGTGTAATGAGCAAGTCTGATGATATCACCAGTCCCATGATCATCAATAGTCACTAGACTTGCACATACCTCGAGCAGTGTAGCTCTATCTGGCAGATCTTTCTCATCAATGTCGTATCTATATAGCTCAACAGATACTGCCGTTTGAACTTCTTTGACAGTTAGGGTGCGCTGAGCGTGTACAAGCCACGAGAGTATCTTGATAGCCAGTTCTCTGAGTGATTCGGGCTTTTCGTGGATGCTTTTCATGGCTCTATCATATGTGGGGTCCAACGGCCGCTTTTCGGTGGACGAGCGTTTCAGTTTCACGAGGGCTTCTTTGATTTGTCTGCGTGTAGATTGCTGGCATATGTATTCGACATGAAATTTCACGAGCAAGAACCTGTGTTTAAATGACATGTTAGATAGTTATAACTGCATTTGTAATGAGATGCTAGATGAAACAAAAAGGAAACATGAAGGATCATCTAAAAACCTGTAAGAGGCCCTTTCACACCTCTCCCCATCGGCTCTTGCGTCAAAATAAAAGCACTGACTTGTATACTTACATTTCTTTAGCGCAACTAGCAAGCTCGGATACTATCTCTTCTTTAAAACCATTATCGTCCCCAATACCGCGCTTTGTCCCTGGGCTCTCGTCGATCATTTCTTGGATATACGTTCTGATATCCATCTCCTTTGCCAAAAGTTCTACCTTCTCTGAAAACTTAAAGGATTCTTGAATATCCTCTGGAAAATGGCAGCTAGTTATGAAAATACTAGCACCGTCTTTTACCAGACGATGAAATAGTGGTAAAAGGTGCTTTCTCTGATTTCCTTGATGGCATTCATCCAAGGCATCAAAAATGAGGAATACTCGATTGTATCCGAACGAGAGAGGCTTTAATAATACACGTAAAACCTCATATAACTCTTCTAAACTGGGCCGTTTTCCTCGAGATCGTAAAGCTTCGTGCATTGTCTCAATTTCTTTGGGAAGGCGAGGGCCCGGTAACTGAATCGAAAGCTGTTTTACCAGGCTAGCGATAACGTTTGTTGGAGTCTGGCTATCTTGCTCCTTGTAGTCGAAGTATACATAAGCTACCCCATAATTCTTCGTCGATGCTTGTTTCTGAAGATTGTCAATGACCGCGGAGCTGAAATCGTCAGCGATCGATGCCTTGAGATTTTAGCTAGGCCGGAGACACTGTCCCCGAAGTTCATAATAATAAATCAAATACCTCAAAAATGTTTTCCCAGCTCCAGCTATATTCGTGATTAGCAGTGTTTCGGTCAACGCGACTAAGCTTTGATGGACCTACGAATGCCATAACCCCAAAGGAGTTTAGGATCCTGAGTATTGAGTAGCGCTTGTAATTGGGGTGTTCTTATGAGCCAATCACCAGTGCTATTTCGCCTTCTGCTGTTGATTTCTAAGTGTTTTTTATCTGTTTGGTCCGGATATATCCAATTCAATATTTTTTCCCGGATTTCCACTATTAAAAATTTCAGTACATATCAGCGAAGACCACAAAGAGATTAAGCCTTTTGGGCCACTCACTCATCTGGATAGAATCTTGTTTTTGTCTCCAAAGATCCTGGGTGGAGGCCTCGGCTTCGAGCTTTGCTTTAAGTTCTTGTACGACGGCGTTCGTGTCCTGCACGCTGGCATTGATTTCTTCTGCCGCACGGTCCAAATCCATCACATACGCCTTTACCGCCTTAGATACAGTACTTTGAAACCAATTAGTATCGAAAATAGAGGCTAAAGTCTCTATTCAACAATTTCCGATGCCACTTACAGATTATCCATAGTTAAAGCTAGGATAAAAAGGTTCTTTTGTCTCTGGATTCGTGCTATGCATTGTTGGGTTTCTGCTTCTTTCAACGGCCATTTCAAGTTTTGAATAATTCCTTTAAGACCTTGTTTCGGCTCCAGCTTCAATTGAAGCCTCCTGAGTTCCAGTGCACATTCTGGAAGAGGTCCGTTTTGTCCATTGATCAGCTGCAAGGCAGTAGACTCGAGATTTCTATCGGCCTGCACATAGTCTTGTAAAGTGACGAGAACATTTCCAAGAGACTGGAGCTCGCCAACTAGGTCCCGTAAATCTTTTGATGCCCCCTTTACCCCTCCAAGGTAAGTATAACCCAAGGTTATCAGCTTTTCTGCTAGTTGAACGATGGCTATGCCGCTTGCAGTAATACTCAAAGGGTCAGCCATTCCAGGCTAAGCTAAACCAGTTCCGTATCAAAGGATTAACGATAAACAGTTAAAGATTTTCAAAAACTAATGAAGGAATATTGAGAAGCACTGTGAGGTATAGAGGCCGAGGAAGAAATCTTGTGTTTATAGAAACTTCAGAGGCAGAAACTAGCTTTGCTGGCTACGAGGCTGTGAATTTGGTTTGAGACCATGCTGACTAACGAATATGACCGCAAGTACCGACTTTGGATTCTGATTCGCCCGTTTGGCTCGCATTTTCGGGATCTTCTTGCCTGCCCCGAGAGTGTGATACGGCTCTTTTACGATATCTCTGGAAGAATTTGGAGTTAACTCGACATTTTCGCCCAATGCCGCATCATTGATGGTACTGCGGATTACCTGGCATGTTCCCGTATTGTAATATCGATCATGCGTATACGTATATCTACCGAGCACACCATGAAATCCAACAATATTAAACATGAAATTGGCCGCCTTGAATTCGTTTCAAAGTACATGTACGTATGAGTACGTATTGATAACTGTTTATCTGGCAATAAGTATGCGCAGGGCACGTATGCATGGAGAATCACTCGCACTATTGGTTGCAATTGCCATCTGTTGTCGAACCACTAGCTTAATTGTATTCGAACCACTGGCTCTGCACATATGTACATGTACCTACATGTATGCTAGAGAGGTGCAGATTTATCTAAGTATATACGTGTAAGTACATGCATAGCCTCGTGTCCATCCTCTACGAGAAATTTATGAGAGCTGTGAACAAACTCAAGATCTAATGTCCTATTTACGTCTTACATGTAATTACATAATATTCCTTGAGAGGCTTGGTCCTAGTCATGACGGGATCCATAAGCCGAACCGGCTTAAGCTTCAAATCGACCCGAGCTTTAGGCTTATTCAGAGCGCGCCTTATAATTCAACGAATCCGAGTTGGAGACACTCATTTTGAGTGAAATACAATAAGATATAACAACGGTAAGGGAAATGATTTTATTAGTGACCCCATATCATTTAAACATACATGTAGTTTAGCTTTCTTGTTGATTGATATCTGTTGTTTACCCGTACTCCCTCATTCATAACACTTAGCAGAACAATATCATGCATTCTTGATCATTGACCCTCCGGATCAAGCCTCTATGCCCAAAGGACTAGGTCGGCTCACGAACCACACTAGTACCATTACTACGGAACCTTACACATGATTATCCTAGTATGTGCGTAGTGTATCCAAGGGTTTGTAGTTGGAGAAGGCTACCGCCGTATGATCTGATCAACAATCCAGGGAAAGATGAAATGATAGTTACTCAGGATTTGGGTACTTGTCTGAACAAATTAACAAGCCTCTTAATACATCCACAAGGATCAGTTCAATACATGGAGAGGACCTAAAATTCATAGCAATCCTAAAAAAACAGAGCTCCCCATGTACTCGGCTCGAATAGCTGGGCGAAAACACTACGCGCATTGAAGATAGGTAGATATATGACAACTCCTGATACTTCAATTAATAAACGTCAAGATCACTCAAGAGGAAAAATTAAAAGAGAGCTAGAGATGCAGAGTATATACGTCAACTATCTATAGCTATGGCCAGGCATGCAAACCTCTATGTTTAGACCCGTATATCTGCAATTAAAGTTTCTCTCACGACGAACTCAATTCTGGTACGTTTATTCGCTGACCAGTTGAGCCGCCAGAAGTTTCCAGCCCCAGATCACCTGATACCCTCTCCCCCAGGCACTCCCGGCCCCTTCGCTGGCCATAAATCGAATTTATTAGAATCTAATACTAAGAGGGGGGATTCGCCACACCTAAATCACGCGCAACAGTGTTTCCGACCCACAGGACATGTAGACAAGACACCATGTGAAGTCACTCCTCGTCCTCGTCTCAAATGACCCAAGCAAGAGGCCAATCCCTTCTATCGAGACCGACTCGGAGCTTTCCACGGAACTTGATACATTCACCATTAATATTCCACGACTGTGACAAACTAAAACGTCTCATGATAGGCCTGAAACTAGTACCCTAATGAGCTCCTATAGCAATACGGATCATGTGGAGTAACAATCTTTAATCATCCGGCAGTGGTTCAATCACACCGTGTGGGTAGTAATATCAGGGAACTTTTTCGTCATGGCTTGGCTCACACCTACTCACTCGGCCCTTCAAGCCTGCCGAGTGAGATGAGACAAGCCAAACTGTGGGAACGACGGGAGGCTTCTCATCATGCAGCCACCAGAAACTCTACGCGGATTAAAATGGCACCTAAACCACACGTCATTCTGCAGCTGCTCTTTCCGTAACCTAGGGTGCTGGTAAGGATATATCGATAGAGCAGTCACCCAGGTGACCGGGGATATGGAAAATTGACGTCCATTCGTTCACAGTGCGCTCATTCTCACTCTTCAGAGTAAGGATAGAAGTAGATACCATAAAAAACAAACACGACAGCTAACTAGACCCGACCAGACCATATCAGACCAGACCTACAGACACAGTTTGGTACTCTCAAAACACAAATAGAAAGAAGAAAAAGAAAAATAGAAGGAAAAAACGGTATCAAAAACCAACCAATATTCCCAAAACCCACCCTAGAAAGTAAAGTAGAAAGAATAGTCCCAAAGAACATAAACCGGGAAGGAAAAAAAAAATGGAAAAAAAAAATCAAATTACAAGAAAGGAATGAAGGGGAGGAAAGAAGAATGATTGACCAAATGGCTGGCTGGCTGGGTTGGCCCCTAAACAGTAGCAAAGGAAGAAAAAATAATGAAGAAAGACTACATGTATCGATCAAACCAGTCCATTAGATACCGCGGTGGAGGGAGGAGGGCTAGGGTATACCAAACAAACAAGAAAGCAAGATAGGAATTAGACGCGGAGATTCTTGATATTTCGGAACAAAAAAAAAGGGAACCCGCGCCTTGGGGACGTCATTGAAAAAACAAGGAGGAAAAAGCCAGGATTAAAAGAACATCGAAGTGAAGAAGTGGAAAGAAAAAAACGAGAATAGTGAAGACCCAATAAACACGTTGGAGGTGCCCCATAACATCAACAAGTAAAAACCATTGATCCATCCTATCCAGCAAACATACAACCACAAACAAAGCGAGGACAAAGAAGAGGGAAAATCTGCGCATGGTGCATCATAATAAGCCAAAATAGTGGCGGTTGGGAATCGTAAAAACGTTAATTAAACGTCTGCAACCAGGGACCGTGTAAATGAAAGACAAAGGGAAAAATAAACTGAAGCGTATTGTCCACTTGCAGCCTTTTTTAGAAACCGCCATGTCCATCCATTCATCCACCATTTAGCCCCCAGTATTCCACCATCCGCCCTGAGCGGAACCTTGCTGCCTGTAATTCTGCGGCGGCGGTGGCTGTCCCAGATAATGTTGTGGCGTCGGGCTCGAGTACATCGGCGGCTGCTGTTGCCCATGCTGCGTATGCATGGAGGGCATTGACTGGGGGTGCGGCTGGGGATGGTGCGGTCCCGGGTGCTGGTGGGGGTGCGATGGCTGTGGCGTATGTGGCGCCTGAGGGTGGAAGTACTGAGCTGGTGGCATGTAAGGCCCACCACCGTGTGTATGCAGTTGCTCCGGCTTAATTCCTTGGTTTGACCTTACTGGCGACTGAGAGACCAATTGCTGATGCTGTTGTTGCTGCTGTTGCTGCTGCTGCTGCTGATGATGTAGAGAAGACAGCTGCTGTGGGCTCATCATGTGTGGGGGGGGAGCATGAAGCTGCGGGTGTTGCGGGATAGGCGCATGTTGAGATGGGTGCGGCAATTGTGGGTTCGCAGGCTGCTGCTGTTGCTGCTGCTGAGCCTGTTGGGCCTGTTGCTGTTGAGCCTGCTGCTGCTGAGCCTGCTGCTGCTGCTGCTGTGGGTTCAAGACAGATGGATTATGTTGTTGCGGCTGCGGCTGTGGCTGCGGGGGAGACTTCGGCTTGAAGTAGTTTTCCTGATACATTCCCCTCCTTGCCTTGCTCGTCTGCCCAAGCTGCTTGTTGAAGTCCGCGGCGTTGTGCACATGCTCCATAACCTGTGACTGAGACGTACTGGTCATCCTGTCTTGGTACGGTGGGCCACTGACTTCTTGCCTTGGTCTCGGAACCGAATACAGCTCTCTCAACTTTTCTTCAGTAGGGGCAAGGTGGATCATGGGCAACGGTGTAACCGTTGGAGCGGGGCCACCTAACCCAGGCTGAACCATCTGTGGCACAGGCTGCTGGTCAATCTGGGCTGGGTCGTGTGTGTAGAGCGCCTCCTGGCCCTGACCATGTTGCTGCTGTTGCTGTTGAGCAGCTTGTTGCTGCTGTTGGGCTGCAGCTTGCTCACTGGCCTGCGCGGCCCTGATCTTTGCTGCACCTGGCCTTTTTTCACCAGCTGGGTCTTCTTCTGTGAAACCCTGCTTTCGTGCCTTGGATTCCCAGTAGTCATCTCTCACACGTCGGCCATTTACGATCACTCTACTCCCAAATTGACGGAACATACTCCTAGCAGTCACGATCGCGATCTGTCGCGACCTGTAAGAGTACGGGAGAAGCTCTTGCTGGATAAGGTCATCTTTCTCTGCTTGCGTGGCGATAATCTTGAAGAGGGACCTATTCTTGTTAAACAAGAGGTACGAGTCTCGGTACCCCAAGACTCTGGCACACTCAGTCGCCAACATGAACAGCTTCTCTCCGCGATTCGGCACGTGAAACGTTCGGCATTTATATTCCCTGCCATTGCAAAGATGCCCCGTTTGCATGACTTTCTTGTCGCCCTCCTCATCATACTCGCGAGGAATATATTCGTCGCCCTCAGGCGTAAGTTGGTCAGTTGTATGGTCGCGTACCGTTGGCAGCGCCTTGACCATCGGCTTGGCAGGTGTCGGTTTCGGCGGTGTAGGTAAGGTACCCGGTTGCTGAGTGGGTGTCTGTAATTGCTGGATCTGCTGTGGCGTGCTTACGGTCTGTGCGGGTAGTTGCTGGTGTTGTTGCTGTGGGGTACTCGCAAGCTGCGGACTCTGCGGCACACCAGGGCCCTTGTTCTTTGGTGGTCGCCCACGCTTCCTGCGGACCGGTTCTTCGGTAGCACCTATAACACAAGTTTTTCCTATTAGTTTTTTTTTTTTTTTTTTTTATTTCTTTTTATTTTCATTTATTTTTTTCGCGCGGGCGCGCATGAAGGGAGTGAGAGGGGCGCCCCCCCCGGGGGGGGGGGGGGGGGTTTCTCTCTCTTTTAGTTGGAAGACGTACCTGCACCGAGATCATCGCCGGCTATGGCTCCATCTCTGTAAGGCTCGGGAGACCGACTTCTTTTAATTCCTCTTGGGCTGGTAATACTCGCGAGCGCAGCAGCATTAGGTTTCGTGTCGTTCTCGAACTCTGTCGCAGTTGTGGGCGGCGAGAATGGTGTCGCGATGGTGTACGCGCTGGCGGGGTTCAAGGAAGCTGGGTCGATGGTGCCAGAGCCATCGAGGCCCCCGCTGTTCATAGGGGGCGTATACATGTTTATGTTTCTGAATGCCGTTGGTGAGGTCATGCAGTACACAGTTAGAGGTGAGGGGGGTGGTGGAGAGGGTGAGTGGTTCCTTCGCTCTGACAAGCGCGAGCGGATTAAGCTCGGGACTGGATTGGATTGGGTGGGTTGAGGATGGGATGGGAGCGAGCGAGTGGGTGGAGTTTGACGCGAACGTTAATGGATGTATGGGCCGCGCGAGGGGACCAAAAGAAGAAGAGCAACCACAGCGACAGACGTTAGACGGTCACTTTCGGGACAGCAACGGCAGAAGAAGCAGCAGCAGCAGCAGTCAAGGTGATGGTGGGGGTGGGGTGGATTGATGGGGGGGGTGGGCGAGGGAGGGGTGGGTTGTTGGATAGGCGAGCAGCAGAGCAGCAGAGCAGCAGCAGCAGCAGCAGCAGCAAGCAGCAGGCAGCAGGCAGCAGGTAGTAGAGGCAACAATAACACCACCACTCACTACCACTACCGTAGGCAAGCAACTGTCAAGTTATTTTTTTGGGGGGGGAGGTGCGGGAGAGGTGCACTGACTGGCTCGCCGGGTGGGTTGTTGACGCGAAGTGGAAGGGGTGTGTGGTTTCGTGGAGCGTGTGTGGGTTATGGGGTGGGGAGGGGAAGGGGGTGGTGTGTGTGTGTGTGTGCGAGGTGGATACAAAAAGGGTGTGGTAGATAGAGGTGGTGGTAGTATGTAGTAGCAGCAGGTATGTAGGCAAGCAGTCAGGCCCTGTGTACTTCCACTCCAAGGAGTAGGGATGGATGGGGGGTAGATGGTGGATGGAACTGGGCTTCTTCACTTCTCTTTCGCTTGCTCTCTGGTTCAAGGGAGGAGAGACCAAAGGTGTGGAGGACACCGTGGGTGGATGGATGGATGGATGGATGGATGATGATGGAGGGGGCTGCAGCAACTTTTAGGGAGGATCTGAGTGATGGGCGCAGCTTGATTTGCTGGGATTGCTTTTTTAGTTCGCTTTTGTACTTTCTTTTTGTTTGATTTGTGTTATTTCTTCCTTTCTTTTTCCTCTTTCTCTGAGGGGGAAGGGGGGAGGGGGTAAGAAGGTGTGGGAGCAACGGAGCGAGGGAGCGAGGGAAAGGGTGGCTGGATATGCTCTGTGATTGGCTGGAACCGAGGCGGATATGCACGGCAACCAATTAAAAACAGTAACAGAGAGGTTGGGGACCGCAAAACGAGAGAAAACAAAACCACTGTTCAAAGAATCTATTCCTCCTGTAAGGACGATTCGATTGAGAATCAAATAGACAAAAATAAAAAATAAAATAAAATAAAAAACGAGGGGTGATTGATTATGGACAGGACAGATATGTAGAGTAGACAGATAGATGATAGTCCGTCCAATTGAGAGGTGGTCGCGATAGAACTAGGGCAAGAATGGTGTGGTCACAAAAATAAAAATATAAATACCTGCTTGCTTGAACGTGCGTGTGTGGGTACTGCCTGTCTGTTTTGTGATATGAGGCACTGGTGGTGTGTCTGTCCTGGATATCGACTCCGGACAGAAAGGAAGGAAGTCTCGTCTCGCTCGCTCTTGCTCGTCTCGCTAGTGTGCGCGTGCGTGCTGCTGAGTCTACCACTAGCTTTGATAGAGTAGGGCAATGATGTGTATCCTGGTTGACTGCAGGTTACGGGCGCTAGGCGTCGTCACGATAGGGCGGTGTGAGAGAGTGGCATGCGCGGATTGAAATTCAATACCTACTTGCCAAGAGCTGGGGGGGGAGTGCCCTCCGGAAGAAACGAGCCCGCCTGAGCCTGAACCGCCCTCGACAACGTGCTTGATTGCTTGTAACTTCTTCCCCGAGCTGTATGGATGCCCCCGGGCAAAGTGATCGCTGGTACTCTCTCCCAGGGAACTGGCCGACGTCCGGAACAAGCACGGAAAGGTCGAAAGGGACAAAAAACCAACGGTGAAAAGGGTGTGATGAGGAGGGGTGTGGTGGTGAGGGGGCGTGATGTAGGTGTGGTAGGTGTGCAGAGCAGTCTTAGCAGAGATCAGAACTGCAATCTGACAAACGGTGTGGTGTGTCTGTGGCGGCGAGCTGCTTCTGCGGGGCTGAATGGCTCAAGCTCTCCTAAAAAAAAATAAAAAAAAATTAAACCGAAGCCTGGGGAAATCTCCAAAATAAAATAAAAAAAGGAAATAAATAAATCTAAAGGCAGGCGCTGGGGAGAGGAAGGAAGCACGGACGCTGGCCGTTTCTTTCTGGTGGTGGTGTGCGTGCGAAGAAGGAAGGATGGAGGGATCAAGTGTGAAACGAAACTGGTGAAGGGTGGGGTGGTGGGCGGACCCGCGTATATAAAATCGCGAAGAAAGTTGATATGGTATGCACCTCTAGCTCAGTCCAGATGAAACTCTTGAAAATCAAGGTTGGTCTCCAGATAGATGGAATATGGATCTCGATGTGCTGAAAAGCCACACCAATCAAATTGCCTCGTAGGGCGCGGAAAAATCAATGTTTTTGTTCGGATGAAGTGAGTTTTGAGTGAAATATTGACATCTCGGGTACAGAGAGAGTAGCATAGATAGATAGATTACGAAGCATCGCCTCCTTCTTCACGGCAGCATCTGCCCGACATCGGCCAGGGGAAGAAAAAAAGAAGGGTCCACCGTACCTACACCTTACCGTGAACAGTAATTCAGGGCAGCTGACGGACAAAGACTACCATTTACTCCTACCTATACGCCCCATCAGCAAACTCAAAAAAAAAAAAAAAAAAAAAAAACGATAAGAGCTCTCAATTTAACCCCCAATGAACCCACATCCTTTGTTGATTGTTTCGTCTATTTATCGTCAACTTTCACATGACATTTGTAACGGTATCGGTTGGGTATAGAGTCCAGTCTGGTCATTCGGAAGTCTTCCATGACACATCCCTACCGGAACCAGCTTACTCCACATGCAGGCCTCTACTTCAAGATCACCATTCCAGAACCGCAAGCGTCATGATATATGACAAAAGGTATCTATTCGGGTTGTGAGAGAGGCTCAGGATAGAGTCCTACAAAGCTTTCGGGGGGCGGCCTACTAAACGTGCTACTACGCCCCTCGACCCAATAAATCTCAAACGCCCAACAATTTCAAGTTCGAAATGATTGTTTCCAGAGCACACATAAGGAAGTTCACGGAACCTCTCCAGTAAGTAATCATTCACAGAAGAGAACACAAAAAGGAACGGAAAGAAAGAAAGAACAGCAGCCGCAGCTTATTTACGCGCAAGTTCAACCGTAAACGGGTGTAACGGCAGTTTCCCTGTTCAGAGTCGACTCGTCGTTTCTGTCTGTCATCCTATGCTCTCACCTCTCTCCTTCCTTCCCTGCACGACTCTGCATATGTGCTGCACTGATCTGACAGGCAGACCACCACCACCGAGGTCGAAAAGGAAAGAATGAATAAAAAAGAATGAAAAAAAAGAATGAAAAAAAAGCAAAGGCGAGGTCCGGTCCCAACAGACCGTTCTGCTCTTCGCCATACCACTCTCTCGTGTCGTATTTTTATGACTCCCACCCCATCATCTATCAATAAACACCCACGCGTTGACGCACAACACCCCCAAGTCCCAGACAGGGATGTTCCCAGGCCGGTAACTTTACGAGTTCCCCAGATCCTCGCCGGGGGTGTGGTTTTGGTGTGGTATGGAACGCCGCTATCAATTCAGTCAAGAAACGTGCTTGAGTAGAGTATGTAGAACTCAATCAAGTCTCACGCGCGTAACGATTGTGCCGCGATAAACAAACCATATAATGCAGAACGGACAAACAAACGACCCATCACAAGCTTGTCTTGTTACCTATGCCTAAGAGGGGACTTTCCGGGGAGACGAAGTTAGAGAGGGGCAACTCAACTCTGCGATGATGTTTCACTTAGAAGTGGGGAAGGAATAAATACAAACTTATGCACGTCCGCAGGAATTCAGAAGTGACGACCTGAACCCGCGGAAGTGGTCTCGAATCGGTAGAGCTCCAGCTTTCTGAGGTTGCGAGGTGAGATGGAATGGAGGGGAATACAAGCCATCACTCTCAACTAATGTACAATAGAGTAATTATTACCCCGCCATGCTAAGATATCCCGCTAACCTGCTACAGTACTAGCCTTGCCGCAAACCTCTGGTAATATCACGACGGAATTCTCCTGGTCTGAACTTTCCACATACATTAGTACTACTTAATCGCGGTCAGTCGGCATTTTTCGATGGGTCGTTTGTATTGGTGTAATAATTGTGTGAATATTCGAGTGTGGTCATTATTTTCGGGATCAACTTGAGTTAAAATGCTCACACTTAAGATAAAAAACCGGAGAGTTGATCCCTGTCTGGATATGCGATGTGGTGTAATGTAGGTACATACTCTGTGTACGCAGCTCCGGGCATAGAGTACTCTACATGTGTTTTTTCTTTTGGCTGGCATGGAAGTTGTCGCAGATGCAGATTGTTTCGGATACCCATACCCCCCCTCCTTCTCCACCCCTCAGTGATGATAAGTGGTTGACTTAGATACAACATCCTTGAGGCGATCATGACTCCGAGCAATGGGGTCTCGTAACGTCAGGGCCACCTCCAAAATAATATCATAGGTACATCGCGTCATATGCATAAACAGGTACAAAATTAAAGTACTGTTTATTCCAGATGACGATCTTTAATGTACCCGACAAGGTACATACAGGAGCAGTTGAGAGGGTGGATCAACCTCCATACTAGAAGGGGAGTATATATCTAGAATCCCGAGCCTCTGTGCAACTTTCACAAAAACTTTGAAGTCCACAGAGTGGTCGCGGCGGTCAGAGAGAAAAAGGGGGGGGGGGGGCTGATGGGATGAAACAAACAATGGTTCATCTGAAGTTCCAGCCCAACTCCCGAGTGATAATGGATGACTCGGCCGAATCGCTTGCCAGCCCATGGCCATCAGTCGCCGTCCCGGGGATCCTTCGATATGATCGTCGTCTCATATGGTCAATCGAGATATCAACGCGCGCGCTCAAATCAGTTACGATAATACCCTCGATTAGGGGGAAAAACAATAACTCAGGACATGGGAAATATGGCAGCGCCGTCTCCGATCGCCCACATAATGCGTAATCAACTCATCAGCCACGAGATGCCCGCTGTACACCCCGCCAAAAAGATCAATTGTATGCAGGGGGACCAGCAGATGTTTCAAAAGAATAGAGAAAAAAGCAAAGCAGCAGGGAATGCTGGTAACAGAAATCTTGGGCAGTCAATCCAGTATCATGGGCGACATGGATCTTAAGATAGGCGGTTAACCAACAGGGCTTTATCGCAGGTTACAGGGCTTCCTGCAAAATGCGAGCGAGAAAGCCAAGGCTCTGCGACTCAGAAGTTGGGTAGAGAAATCGATTGGTCTAGAGGAACTTTTGAGCACTTCCGACTGATGTTCACCTTCCCGGGGAATAGGTAAGTACATCTTTTATTTGTCAAAGAATCTCAAAAATAGTATACTACCGATTGTTGTGAGTATCGTTGATGTGGATCAAGATCGGATGAATGATCATTGGCCTTCTACCTAAAGTCCGACATACAAATGAGCTAAACATACGCCAACTCAGTTTCTAATACCAGCACGTATTGTCCAGTTTTTCACTGTGGTGTTTCTATGATTTCTATGGTTGTGGTAAGTACCGAACCACATTAGCCCTTTCTTCTTAACATCGCATGTAATATTCTTCGGAACCTATTAAAACATGCTCCCTGATGCAGGATATGACAGATTAAGCTAGAAATAATTTAAATTGGCCTAAACTGTCGTCATCGGAATAATGAGAGGTTACAGGTATGGTGGTACACCAATATTGATTGAAGATGGCGCCCCATTGTCCTCGTAGATCTGTACGAGCACTATGTACAACGTGACGAGTGCATAAATTGCGAATATTAGCTACTGTACGATATGATATGGGCTAGTTGTGCATTGCATCGTTTGAATGCACCCTGTAATAAGCATGTGAGTAGGTGGAGTAGAGTATGTGTGTGTGTGTGTCTGGGTTGTGTGGTACTCCAGCTGTGCGTTCGCCCAGCTAGATGCACATGCGGTTGAATGATTGTGTAGTCATGGACAACTGATTTGGGACGGACATTACTCTAAATATTCTACAAAATATTGGTTCTCTGGAGCGACTTGTAGGTATTGCGGGTGCCGTATCCAGGCGGATAGGTACGATCTAAAATGTTTCGAACCGCTTCAACCTCTCTGCTTCCTTGGCTTTAAAGTACCTACTTGAATGGGAGCCATTTGCGCGTTCATCTCAGCACCACATATGAGGCCGTAAATCTAGGCACAGTATGGATCTACTCTAGAGGCGACGTGTATGTGCGCGCCCGCATTGCAAGCCACGGGCAGGGGGCTGTCTCTCCTCGTGGGTTATGCTGTCCTGTCGTTAGTTATTGCTATCTCTGGGACTCTCTTGCGTGTGCTCAGCTCGACGTTAGAGATGTTAACTGAGTAGATTAGAAATCATTCGAGTGATCTGGACACTTTACTATGTGCTGAGCATGAGCCGGTCACCTTAGAGTGCTAAGCTAGAAACACGCTGAGCATCGCTGTCTGTTATAATATTGCTAGGCTGGGCAGATATATATGAGCATCATAGTAGAGTCGCTTGCAATTGTAGTTCATCCTTGCTCTAACTCGATGCAAGATGAGTTACAAACGGAAAGGCTACATCTCACTATCGACAATTCTGTGTACTCGCTATCATCCATAAGAACCTGAAAATGCAAGTGACAGTTACAAGGATTATTTGTATGTACTCGCAATTTCACAGCGTTTCCGGACGCAACTGCTATTGCATACACAGAAAAAACCCGCCAAGGCTATCTTTTGTATGGCATGCAATAGTGGTCGCGTCCGGAAACGTCAAAAAACTACGAGTAGTGGCGCCGTTCTCCCATAGAAATTATCCCTGTCTTATTCACCTGCATTTTCAGGTTCTTATGGATGATAGCGAGTACGATAACAATCACGTGATTTGCATATCCAGCTGTTAATTTGCAATTGTTTGTTACACGACGTGTACATAAACCGATACCGGTATTTGATCCTAACATCAAGTAAGTCAACTTGATGTATGTACTCATGTTATCAACAGTCTGTAGTCCCCAAAGGGAAGAAATCCCCGATTGGCAGTGAACGTACGGATTCAACCTCTATTTCGATGCAGCTCTTTACATTCCTTACGTATCAAGATATTCCAATGCCCGATATTCTCCGCCCTGATTTAGCACTCCTTACTCGTACTTATCCTATCCACCAGCTTATCAGTTCCGGGCACCTTAACCTGCACAATCTCTGCATAAACCTGCAACATGGGTTCCTTTCGCGAATTCGGCTCGCGGGCGGACTGCCCCCTCCTCCCAAGGATGGGTAACGCCTTCTGCTTCGCCAGGCAAAATTATGTTCCTTTTTGTGATAATACATAGATTAGCGGTCTAGGCTTGAGTGTCATACCGATTGCTCTAAGTACCTACGGTTAAATAATAAGGAGTAAACCGTTCTGTTCATAACTAGTCTTCGGCATACCGGTGCTGCTGCATAATTAGGTTGCATAGCCTAGCTAGGGGGTATGATAACCACTTCCCCGGCTTCAACCGTTGATTGATGCATAAGTGGGTGACGATCCATTGGCTAACTTCTCTAATTAGTCCCCCAAATCACATATTTACTTGCAGTCCGGACGGGCATTTTACTATCGATACCGGATGTTTTATGTGAACATCAAGTCACTCTTGCATCTCCGTTCCTGTGCGGACTTCCGGTGAACTGTTTATTCAACTAGTACATACTCTGACCCGTTAGTTACTAGCATATGCAATTTTCCGGCTGGGTTGAGCGGGCTGGTTCTTCTTGTAAAGCTTAGTCTCCGATGCATCGGTACAGGAATGAGTATTAATGGGATTGATGAGCTTGGCCCATGAAAGTCGATGATTAGTCAAGAATTGGCCTTCCCTCAGGAGTTTTACTTGATACTCCCTATGAGGCTTTTCACAAACACGTGAAATATATCAAATAAGGCCTTGGAACATCAGCTTTGATCGCGTATCTTGCAGATGAGATATTATGCAGTACAGTGAATGGGGAAAGGGGTTATAATTACGGGGGTTAGAGTGGGGATGAGGGGCAAGCTGATGAACGACAAACGGTAAGCCATATTGGAAGTTTGTGTATTGCGTGAATTTCTGTACCCAGTCTACTGCAGAATACGCGTGCACGCAGAAGTATATACGCAAGTGATAATTGTACGTAAGTACTTATATTGAATGCTGGGAGTCGATTTTAGTTGATGGAAGCTCCAGGCAAAAGGCGCCCAGGCAGCGAAAGGATTCATAAAGCCCTAAGACTCAGAAATTTTGGAAACTAATCCATCCAGGTGGCACGGTTCTAAACCCGAAATCAAAATCTTTAGAAACTGCCAAGTATCGGTCTTATTCGGCGTCCAGGATGGTTCATTCTGCAGATATCACTTTTACCCCGCGGCCCCGCTTAATATGTGAGGATCAGTACTAGACTCACCGGGGATTTCCAGAATAATAGGCTCACGATCAATTACGAACTGTTGATTTCTTGAATCATCGGTTTGATCTCTATACACTGTTCTTATTATCATAATCTCCTTTTGCACAGCTAACCGCCACCAATTTACCATGCGCGGCGTAGCTACGTAGGTTTTCCTCATATGATCAATAAACTCCCGTTTTATGTGTTGAGCACCCTGATGGCTGCCGCAATCTAGATATGCCGATAACTCTGGATCTATAATCTTCGGCATTCGTCCGTAATCTGAGCAGACATCCCGATACTATTAGGCTGAAATTACATTGCCGTGTTGTCATTGACTGTGAGTCGGGTACAATAGAGTATGAAGAAGTTGCTAGGGACGGACATGTGAAGAAATAAATTTCTTTGCCCGCCGCTGCCAAGATAATAGGAGTAGATCATTTCCGGTTGCGTGGATGATTAACAAAAGTGAATCATCTTTAGGCTCTAGACTTTGCCTGATGAGGTGGACTACGCCGATAACATTACTTAAAGGATCATTCTCAAGAGATTTCAGTACATCACATCTATTTATGGTGCTAAGTATCAAAGCAGATGATTCGAAGAGGGTTTATTAGCGGACATTGATAACGATTGGCTATTATTATAATTAGAGACATGAGATATCACATTTATTTTATGAAGTCCTTGAGTACTCTACAAAATCTGCACTGGCTTTTAATTCAGCCTTAGATAACCACATCAGAAAGGAAATATCCTGGCATCATCTAGTTATATAGATCGTGTGCCGACAAAGTAATTCATCATGGAATATGCCTCCTAGAACTCGGAGGCTAGTATTCTCATGAGAAATACACCAGAATAATAAAATTAGCCTCTGGTATTTGTTGGCCACTAGTAAATGATTCCTGTGGCTATTTAGTATATACTTTATGACTACGATATCATACGCGATGTTTTTTTTTTTTTTAATTCATTGATTATCATACGCGTCGATATGTTTCGCCTCGTATACTGGATCATGGGGCGATGGCATAATGAGCAAGAATTTAGCATGAGGTGAAGCAGGTCATATGAGAAGCTAGCTGACAACTATCCTTGTGACAGGATTCATGGGCCCAGAGATTGGTTGGTGGGGATTCAATTTGAAGGCTGTATTTCTGTATAAACTGTGCAGGGTTATTCCTTTATCAGTGTCCGATAAACCTAGGATCATGTCAAGGCAAGGGGATGTAGGTAAATAATAGTTATAGCTAGATCTACAATTATCGCTCCTCTGTTTTCAGGACTTGTGGCGATTTGTGGTTCACTATCATCATGTCTCGGTCGACGGTCCCGGATCCAATACAGCCCTCAAAAATAATTTGAATAGTCATTGACTTTATAAATTTGAAACATTAAAAGTGGTATAGACGTCAACTGTTTTCGGGCATATATCCGCCAAATTAGTTAGACTCATTTTAGTACTAGGTTCACGATACACTGCATGGTGTTCTTAACTATCACGCATCCATCTTGACAAGAAATACCCATCTGATAGCTCTATTATCATTTATGAGAGCGGAAATTCAGACTTCACGTTTTAATATAGATAATTATCAGGTATCTCTTAATTCTTATTCATTATGGTGGTATGCGCAACGTAGTGGGGGAGGATCAAATATTACAATCACCAGATATCACTCGATTAAGCACGAACCACTCTTATGTATTTAGTTATTTATAATTTATTACGTGTATGCAGCCTGGAGGCTATGAAAGTACTACCGCCCTTGGTGTTTATAATTGGGTTTTTTTTAATCTCATATAAATTATAAATAGTTAGGGGAGCCGATGTCAGGAATGACTCCTACTATAGAATCTAGATTGTATATTCAGGGTGTATACATATATGTAGTTAAAAGCAATAGAGTCATTATCAGACAGCTGATTGGAGCAGGCTGTTTATGAGGGTTTAATTGATGAGCTGTACCTTTAGCTCTATAGATCTAGCTCCCACGGCCCTTCTTATGCGCCTCTCGGATTAGAAAATCGGCTTGTACATTCAAAAACCGGAGCCTCGCGGGTGTAATACAATTGTACAACTACGTTCTCAAATTCCGTCGGGGTCTTCGGCTGATCATACAATTTCTAGTGAGACTAAGAAGGGTTTAATGAACAAATCTGTACGTTTATACTCTATCTATCCCTATATCCCCGGCCCTCGTGCGTTTTCACGACCGGGAGCTAGTGGGCAACTTTTACTCGGCAGTGCGCCTAACCGTCGCTCCATGAACCTCTTTTGCTGTGAAGTCACCTTTTGTGACCCTCCTATACCTTTTCTGGTGTCTCCACAGTCTGTAGGTAGCTAGATTTTCTGAGTATCACCACGCCGTCGCGGGCCTAATATGTCTCCGTTTTCGCTCTGACGAACGAAGGGATATACCACTGGAGCCTGATTTCGATTGATTTTGTGGCGAAAGAATCCCTATTAAATGCTCTTTCAGCGAAAGATTTATGTCTTCTCCCTTGAATTAACTATAAAACCTCTATAGCTTGGAGGTAACGAGCGATTTAGATATTTTTGGATTTACAGTTAGCTACGAATACTTACCGAAGTAGGTTATAGATTTCGCTTGTAGAGTCTACCTATTGAACAAGTATAATGGTACAAATGGTAAGCTTTAGGTTAGATACTCGGAATGATTCAAGTTCAATCCCCCCACATTCATTTTTGCTTTGCACCAGAAACAAATACGTGTAATACAATCAATAAAATAATCAGTAAAATAATCAGTAAAATAATCAGTAAAATAATCAGTAAAATAATCTGTAAAATCGTAAATATCATTAGGTACTGATGCATTTACTAGCTGATACATTATGTGAGACTGTGATGCATTATTAAGAATTCCAGACCAACTTAATTGATGCATTTACTGATGCGTTTACTGATGCATTTCGTACCATGGTAGAGTGGTATAAGCGGTCCTATGCTATAGCTACCAATATTAAGACTTCGTACACGCAGGTACTGTAGTCGAATGGCGTAGATGAAAAATAAAGAGGGCAGAAAGACAAATTGGTAGATTTCTCGGAAACATAGGGTATCTATCCCCTTTTATATTAGGACATGCAACCTATGTGGATATATTTCGATTTGAATTTGTTATATTTCCATATCCTTAAGCTTATCCCTTAATCTGGCGGTGTTGCCTACCTTATAATAGAGGAATTAGTTGTATGGGAAATCTATTATTTGATAAGAGAGATAACAGGATCTGTTAGTAAAGCCACACAAAGATTTGCTTCGCCAGACGAGATCGGATTGCAGTAGAGTAGACTAAATGAATCTGGAAGTGGCTAGCGTTGCATAGCCTGACAACCCTTGCCCTAGTTACGGTAGAAACTGTATAGGTACTTGTGCAATTGCATAAGAAATTAGTAATATTACTTTGTGTTTTCTAAGAGGTCGCGTATGTAGGTACCTGAAGCTCTCGAGTAGGTACACAAACATTTACCTTAACGAATAAACAGAACCGTTAAGAACCTCAGTTCAATTCATGCGAATCTACAAACATGGAGTTTTTCTTATAATTACAAGTCTTCGGTGACAAACGTTTTTCTTTCAGCGTTACAAAGGACAGTAGCACCTGTAAATTAATAGGAACGTCCAATTAAGTATGATAGAGCTGTCCTCTTCAAATATATGTGGCTTGTGTTAAACTGGACACCCATAACTCCACGAAGCTGTAAATGTATTCAGCCTCCAGATGCTCCGTCATTCCTTCGATTCTGGAAGGAACAACCTACGAGCGCCCTGTGCTCTGCGTGGAGCCCTGACCTCCCTTGATGCTCCGCTGGGCAACCTTTCCTGATTGGCAATAGCTTGTTGTGTTGGCAGCGTGGGTCTGGAATAAACCCCCTTTCCTTCTTTTCTTCCTTCTTTCCTTCCTTCTCTTCTTCCCTTCTTCAACTCCTTCTTCATCCCACATTCCATCAATTATTCATTTTTATTTCGCGGTCGTTTTCCCGGCACTTTTTCATCCCTCAATTTCTACCTAATTGTGAGTATCCATCAAACTGGTGTTTTGGTTTTCTGCCCCTGCGTATTTGGCGGGGAACGCGTTCTCTAAACATCCTAGCCGATAGCTATCCGCTATCTGGATAACGAAATAAATTTTCGATAACTGACAAGCATTTTACAGATTCATAATGCGCGAAATCGTTCACCTCCAGACCGGTCAGTGTGGTAACCAGATTGGTGCTGCTTTTTGGTACGCCCCCTTATAATACGAGTCAAGCGGAGATAGAGGAGGGGGAGGGGTGTCTCATATTTTGTTAGATGCGTGGAATTCTAACATTATACTCGGGTATCAGGCAAACTATCTCAGGAGAACACGGTCTTGATGGCGCTGGAGTGTAAGTTCTATTAAGACACTATAGTAATTGATAATCGTGCATCTAACCCGATCATATAGTTATTCCGGGACTTCCGACCTCCAGCTCGAGCGTATGAGTGTCTACTTCAATGAGGCCTCAGAAAATAAATATGTTCCTCGTGCCGTCCTAGTTGACTTGGAACCTGGTACTATGGACGCTGTCCGTGCTGGTCCTTTCGGACAGCTCTTCCGTCCCGACAACTTTGTTTTCGGGCAGTCTGGTGCCGGTAACAACTGGGCCAAGGGGCACTACACCGAGGGAGCTGAGCTCGTTGACCAAGTCTTGGATGTTGTTCGTCGTGAGGCCGAGGGATGTGACTGCCTGCAGGGTTTCCAGATTACCCACTCCCTTGGTGGTGGTACCGGTGCCGGTATGGGAACATTGTTGATCTCCAAGATCCGTGAGGAATTTCCGGACAGAATGATGGCTACATTCTCAGTCGTTCCTTCGCCCAAGGTTTCAGACACTGTTGTTGAGCCTTACAATGCTACCTTGTCTGTTCACCAACTTGGTAAGGCTAACAATTAACAACCCCGATATGGAGTCATGTCCCTAACCTAGATACAGTTGAGAACTCCGATGAGACCTTCTGTATCGATAACGAGGCTCTTTACGACATTTGCATGCGTACTCTGAAGCTTGCTACTCCATCTTACGGAGACTTGAACCACTTGGTCTCCGCTGTCATGTCAGGTGTTTCTACATCCCTTCGTTTTCCTGGCCAATTGAACTCCGACTTGCGGAAGTTGGCCGTCAATATGGTCCCGTTCCCACGTCTACACTTCTTCATGGTCGGATTTGCGCCTCTCACATCCCGCGGAGCATGCTCTTTCAGAGCTGTCAGCGTTCCAGAGCTCACCCAACAGATGTACGACCCGAAGAATATGATGGCGGCCTCCGACTTCCGCAACGGACGTTACCTGACCTGCTCTGCCATCTTGTAAGTCAAAATTTCACCCTGAATCTTCGTTTTTGTACCCGGAACATCTGGAGTTGTTGCTAATCAGCCTTTGTAGCCGTGGTAAAGTGTCAATGAAGGAGGTCGAAGATCAGATGCGCAACGTTCAGAACAAGAACTCATCTTACTTCGTTGAATGGATTCCAAATAACGTCCAGACTGCCCTCTGCTCCATTCCCCCTCGAGGACTCAAGATGTCTGCAACTTTCGTTGGAAACTCTACTTCCATCCAGGAACTCTTCAAGCGTGTGGGTGACCAGTTCACCGTCATGTTTAGGCGCAAGGCGTTCTTGCATTGGTACACTGGTGAGGGTATGGACGAGATGTGAGTACCCGATAAGAATACTGGACTTTTATACCCCAGTCAGGAACTAATGGCGAAAAAACAGGGAATTCACTGAGGCTGAGTCCAACATGAACGATTTGGTCTCCGAGTACCAGCAATACCAGGATGCGTCCATCTCTGACGACGAGGGCGAACACTATGAGGAAGAGATGCCTGCTGAGGAGGAATAAACGGGTTGATGGTGATGACTAAAGCATCAAAAAAATCTTGATGGCAATGGCAAAGGAGTCAGTGTCTACTGGTGTTTTCCCTCTTTATTTCCTTTCTTGTCCAGCATTTTGATGTGGTGCCGGTGCGTGCCCTGCAAGAAGTATTTATTTAACTTATGCCCCTGGAGCTCTCTAATTCTTGAAGAGAAACCGCTTTAACTTTTTTTTCAACTGCTGGTCTCCTCAGCGATTGTTTTGAAACGGATTATATATTTAATCGCTCGATGATGAAAGCTTTGCGTTAATTATGAAAGCCGTAATGTGTGTTTGGGTCGCATAGAAGCGCCGCAAATCCTCGTGAATCGCTCACACGAACTAAGAGTGGATAGGGCTAAACGCTCGTTTATTGTCAAAAGGTGAGTTGAATGGCTTGCCTGCTTGTCCAGGCGAGTAATTACTGTATAATCGCCCACAAACTTGATACAGCTTTTGTAAAGAAACCTCGATCGAACCTACACTGGCAGAATTTCCCCGTCGTGGTCAAAGTCCGGGTCCAATTTGTAGCGTAAATAACTCCAGGTAGTTGTTTTTTGCTATGTTACTACTTACGGCAGTAACAGTGATATAGTTAAAGGCTGTAAAATTTAAATGGCCCCTGCATGTCAGGGCCCGATAACGAAGAAAAGTTTTCGGGTGTTGCGGCCAAGCCATGGGACATATGTTGATAAAATTGATAAAATGAATGTTTGCGCGCAAGTGGTCGGCACCGATTGCCCCACCTTGACTAGGTCGGAAACGGACGCGGGGGAGGGGAAGTGTGCAGCAGCAGCCATCTTCCTGATAAAAAAACAGTTATAACGAGAATTTTCTTTCACCTTTCCTCCTCTTCCCCATTTCATCATCTCATCCTGCCATCTATTCATCTCCTACAATTGAATTCCCTCTTCTAAACTAAATTAGTATAATCACAATGTCTAAGGGAAAGGTAAGAAATCAGCGCTTTAAATACAATCCCTAGTTGAGCGAATCTGGATTAACGGTGGACGAATAAATAGGTCTGTCTTGCTTACTCGTGAGTCACATCTATTCTCTCTACAATTGAGGCTAGAAGAACCATACTTACTATGATTGTAGTGGAGGTTTGGATACTTCTTGTATCCTTGGTATGCCTATTCGCTGTCATTATGTATTGGACTTGATACTAATCTATGCTTCGTACAGCTTGGTTGTTGGAGGAGGGGTATGAGGTCATCTGCTTCAGTAAGTTCTTTCCGTCATTCTCTGTCAATTAGCACAATCGCTAATAAGCCAAAAGTGGCCGACGTTGGTCAAGAGGAAGACTTCGAGGCTGCTAAGGAAAAGGCTCTGAAGATCGGTGCCTCAAAGGTCTACGTTGAGGATATCCGCAAGGAGTTTGTCGAGGAGTTTTGCTTCCCCGCCATTCAGTGCAATGCCATCTACGAGAATGTTTACCTCCTCGGTGAGTCACACCTACATACCTAACAACTTTGTAATCTAACAACAACCTAGGCACATCTCTCGCTCGCCCTGTTATTGCTCGTGCCCAGATATCTGTTGCTGAGAAGGAGGGTTGCGCCTACGTTTCTCACGGTTGCACCGGAAAGGGTAATGATCAAGTTCGTTTTGAGCTTGCCTTCTACGCCCTCAAGCCTGACATCAAGGTCATTGCACCATGGCGTCTCCCTGTTTTCTACGAACGTTTCGCTGGACGCAACGATCTCCTCGAGTACGCCGACAAGTGCGGCATCCCCGTCTCACAAACCAAGGCTAAGCCATGGTCCATGGATGAGAACCTTGCCCACTGCTCTTTTGAGGCCGGAATTCTCGAGGACCCCAACATGACCCCATTGAAGGACATGTGGAAGCTCACCATCGACCCCCTTGACGCCCCCGAGCAGCCACAGGACTTTACCCTTCACTTCGAGAAGGGTCTCCCCGTCAAGCTTGTCACCGATTCTAAGACCTACACCGAGCCTTTGGAGCTCTTCCTTGCCGCGAATGCCATTGCGAGGGCCCACGGTGTTGGGCGTATCGATATCGTCGAGAATAGGTTCATTGGATTGAAGTCCCGTGGATGCTACGAGACCCCTGGTCTGACCATCTTGAGGTCTGCTCACATTGACCTTGAGGGACTCGTTCTCGACCGTGAGGTCCGCGCCTTGAGGGATCAGTTCGTTACCTACAACTACTCCAAACTTCTTTACAACGGTCTCTACTTCTCTCCCGAGCGTGAGTTCTTGGAGGGCTCAATTGCCGCGTCCCAGAAGACCGTCAACGGAACTGTCAGGTGCAGGGTTTACAAGGGATCCTTCATTGTCCTTGGAAGGAGCTCGGACACAGAGAAGCTCTACGACATGTCCGAGAGCTCCATGGATGAGATTGGTGACTTTGCGCCTTCCGACTCTGCTGGTTTCATTGCCGTCCAGGCTATCAGGCTCAAGAAGTATGTTTTTCCTACCTAGAATACGTGGGTTTGAGTTGGCGAGACTAATTTCGTGAATCAAATAGGTACGGAAAGAAGAAGATCGAGGTTGGTGAGAAGTTGTAAATTTTGTTTTGCGGCGCACGCGGGGTTGCCTTTACTAGATAGAAAAAGATCTTGAGGGCCTTGTTTGATTGCTATGATTCCATGGAGTAAAAAAAATAAAAAAATTTTCAGAATCACACTCATTGCTCCGTTTACTTGCGGATTAGCTAATCACTACGAGTGATGTTCCGTGTCCTGCCATGATCGAATAGAATAGATCAAAACTGGCGTCATAGGAAGCGCACGAAGAGGGTACACTACAAGCCCCAAGGTTACATCATTAAGGGTCCAAAGAGTGCGTCATGCATAACTTAAGATCACTAGCTACTATTATCACGAGGGATTTAAAAGGTTCACTTACATGTACTTCTACTAATTTAGAACCTTATATCGTCCCATGTTTTTCTGTTATTTCTTCGGCACCAAAGCCAGTGCACGATTTCGGACAAATAATCTACAAGTGCCAACAAGTATATGTACCTCTGTGCTACAAAGTACAAAGTGATGCGTCTATCGTTGAATGGATGTTCTAACCCACCGTCCCAAGATGTATTTATTTACTCATGACTGAACGGGAAACGTTTTTTAATCATCAAAAATCATGACTTGCATACAAAGAATGGTTAATCGACAAGAAAGAGAATTCGTGGAGGCACGTGCACATAGAAACAGAGCCGCAAGACAAGACATAAAAAAAAAAAAAAGAAAAACGAAAAAAAAAAAAAAAAAAAAAAAGCCCGATATCACCAAAACCCCATTCCCCAGGCCTATCCATAACGTTATCGTATCCCATATCTCGTCGCGATACCGCACCCCGTTTTATACCGCAGCTCTAAAACTCATCATTATACCTCCTCCCCGCCGCGCCGGCCGCCCAGTCCCTCCCCCCGGCCGACGACGACGACGACGACGACGCCGCCGCCCACTCCTTCCCGCCCGCGCCCAGCGCCTTTCCCACCAGCTCCGCCAGGCGCTCCAGATCGCCCTTCGCGGCGCCGCCGCGCTGCCACAGCCACATGGACGCCACCATGACGAACATGATGAAGAGCAGGCGGATTGTGGTGACGAGCACGCCGTAGATCCACCGCGAGGCCATGCCCAGGATGCTGAGCGACAGGTAGACGATGAGCAGGAGCAGCGCGATGTTCATGAGGTCGGGCTGCGAGTGCGCGTACTCGCGCAGCGGCGAGAGCAGGTCGTAGAGGTTTGTGGTGAGGGTGGAGGTGTAGGTGCTGGCGGAGTGCGCGAAGTGGAAGAGCTGGAAGAGGAGGTCGTCGGCCATGGTGGAGGATTGGGGGGGGGGGGGGGGTGGGGGGGAGCTTTCGGGCTTGCTTTGGTTGTTTGGTTGGGTGTTTTCTTGCTTTCTTTGTGAGGTTTGGAGTGAGGTTCGGTCGGTTGACGGAGTAGGCGCAGTAGTAGGCTGATCAGCGGAGAGGAGATGGATGGATGGGTGGATGGATGGATGGATGGATGGATGGATGGATGGGTGGGTGGATGGGACAGATGGGCTTTAAGCTTAAGCGACGGAACGTTCGATCAGGCACAGCACGGAAAAAGGCGAGGTGTTCAGGAACGCAAGGGGCTGTTATATGTAGAGCAGAGTACGCGTAGGTGGCGGTAGCTGCACGGTCAGTGAGTGGTCAGTGAGTGGTCCAGTGGTGGTCCAGTGGTCAGTGGTCAGTGGTCAGTGGTCAGTGGTCCCAGCGTTTCTTTCGTTCAGAAGATGCTAGCTGTCATTTACTTGGTTGGTTGTTAGGGTTTGGGTGCGTTGGACAGACAGGAGGCGAGGCGAGGCATGGCATGAAACAGCGAGACTTGGCTTGGGCGTGTGTTCTGCGTGGGTGGCTCGGGGTGCAGGGGTGCAGGGGTGCAGGGGTGCTTGACTGGGCAGTCATGGGCGGTCACTCGGTGCTTGGTATGCGCGGGTGGGGTGGCCTGGGGTGGGGCCAATGATGGCTGGTCCCGGATATGAGTGGAGGGAGGGAGGGAGGGAGGGAGGGAGGGAGGGAGCTGTGGATGATGGCGCACCGTGCATGGGGTCGGGACTGGTGGATAGGGCTGTAAGGTCTTACATGGATTATCCGAAGCTGTGGGCGAAAGGCCTTGAGGGCTTGGTTGGGGTTTCGAAGGCCAAGTACACGAGTTCTTTAAACGAGCACATGTAAGGATACATGTACCCACTACTATAGGCCGCATGTACATGTAGTCATAAACAGGCGCCTCTAAATCATGTCCCTTCTGCTTGGGTACCCTCTACCCTCTACCTTCTATCTCACCGTCCTCACATATCTTCGTGTCTGCTATCCGCTTTTGATGGAATGCTATGATCTGTACAAAATCAAAGGCGTGTCACTCTCATACTATGATTTTCACTCCTTCGCACAGTTCGGCACTCTTCATTCCGCCGTTTATCACGGTGGCGTCATCTAGGATCTTGACTCTTGAGAAGAAACACTTGTCTAGAACGTTTTAGCGGCAAGTTCGTAGCGGTAAGTAATCCAGGCCCAACTTCCTCAAATACAGATGCTCGTCTTTATCTAATATCTGTATGAGACAACTTAGCTCTTGGTCCATAGAGTCACCCCCTTCCAATTAGCTTTTATGGCTTTGATGTTCTTGTGGCTATAGATGTGCACCCTACCCTTTAACCAATACGAGATAGCGGAGAACTACCGGCGTCTCCCTCTTTGGTTCCTCCTACCTCCCCTGGGAGCGCCGCTTGAGATTCTGGCCTGTTGCGCGTTCCACCTTTGGCAATGGTGCTATATTGATTATTCCCGGTTTTGATCAGAATGAATCACATCACACCGATTGAGAGAAAAAAAGTACTTTCAGCCTCAAGGGATACTTTTATACGCACTTGAAATTCTTCCAGCTGAGAAATTACCGAGTCAATGCTGGGAGACTCATGGGCCATTATATTATCTTTGACCATCTGCCAATCATCGGGGAGCCCCGCCATCATAAGCGATAGACCCTCCGCCGCTGCTGCCTTCTCATGCAGTTGTCCAAGCAAGTGGTTGACTCTATTGATATAGCTAGCCACAGGCTCCCCCTCGAGTAACCTGGTGTTATCAAGCAGCTCCGAGTAAAGATAATCATCACTACTGTAAAAACTGGCTTGATGCCCATCAAGAAGCGCCTGCCATAGAAGCGCCGGGTCCTCGTATTTCTCGTAGCGCAAGAACAAGTGATCCTCCATGGAGGAGAGTATTGCTCCCGTGGCTATGGCACACATTCTCTCCCAATCTCGCTTGTGAATGTTGATGAAGATGGGATTATAGCGGTGGTCTTCGACTATGAAAGCGGGGACAAAATGCATTCGTTCCTCGAAAAACATGGCGAAGGTGTACTCCCCGGTGCAAATACCCCACACTCCGTTCATACTCAGTTCTGTTCTTATGTGGGACTTCCATTCGCTAAAGTTGCGTTCGGTGAGCTTGGCAAACTCCAGCTTGGCTGAATAGGCCGCCATAGAGAGTTTTACTTGAGGGAGCGTACGGGTCTGACCGATGAAGTGGATGTAGACGCACTCAATTGATATAGTTTTAAAGACTGGCAAACTTAGGATTGAAGGAAGAACGAAACACCGTCAGAGCTAGACGGTCTACGTTGATGTTTTTATTGGTCGTGGGCTAGTATGCGCTATAGACGGTGTTGGACTATCCGCGGAGATGGAACATAATTATCAAGAGACTAAACAATAGGCCACCGCCTGAGACCCCCCACGAATATACTAGTAAAAAAAGTACCAGACCCTTCCAGAGATGGGACCAGTGCCGATATTTTTTTCGGCGGGGCATTGCCCGTCCACTGTTGAAGCCTTGAGACTAAAGGGGCAAGATCCATTGATCTTCGGCAAAGCGCGCGCATTACGGAACACCGGGAGCTACAAGTATGCAGAGACCCAGCTAGCTATAGCTAGCTAGCTGATGGGAGACTTGCTTGATGGCTATCTGGATAGTTACTCTTCTCTGATGAACAAGAGCCAGATGCGCATGCAGGCTTCCCTATCGCCGTGCACGTGATAGGCTTGGATTTTGGAATATATATACAGCTCATCACATTAGGCGGACAAAGAACTAAATCGTTCGGAGGTCAGTTGGGAGGAGGGAAGTAGGGGTAATAATAGCTATAGTCAAGATGTTCAGTATCCGGTAGTACTCCTTTGCATAGTAGGATCTAGCTAGGGTATATAAGGCAGACGGGCCATTATATATATATATGCACAAATACATGTACTTATGGAAAGACTACGAACTGCTTTGAGGGCATCTTGGAAGTCTGTGGTAATTACATAAACTACATCTGTCGTTCGCAAGCTAGCTAGCTACCGCATATATAGGCGCCGGCCTTTGAGTTGCAATGGCTTAAGAATCTTATATTTTTTTTTCCTTATGTCCGGGGTGCGCGTGCGAGAAACTACTTTATCGTATATGTATATATATATATATATATATATATATGTATTTATGTTCATTACTTTTTTTTTCCAAGTACTCAAGTGTCTTTTCCCCCCCAAAATGTTTTTTCTACAGCCTTTTGGAATTATAGCTCGGTATAATATGCCGGTTATAGCGCGGCGTTATGCTTGTAGTTTTTTTTTTTTTTTTTGGGGGGGCGGTCTGGTTGGTGATGGAGGTATTTGATTAAGGGCTTATATATACGTGATTTAGATGGTAGGGGATCCTTATATTTATACACAAGTGGTTTCCGGCCTAGCTTCGGCCGGTACTGCATGTATATATTCAATCAACCCAATACATAGGCTTTTATTTTTCTCTATTTGCCTGTCAGTCGGGGTTCTCAGGCAAAGTCGATCCATCACTATCTGCTCTGGTCGGCGTGTGCCTGGTCTTAATCTCGTGCCCCCCCCCCCCCCCCGCGGCGCCCGGGGGGCGTATCAGTGGATATATCAGACAATTTCTCCAGACGTTCAAGCTGCAAATATCCCTTTAACAGCTAGCCACCAAGCTGCCAAAATCCGGACTACTGATCGATCCCCGGACCTAACTGGCAGAAAACCTATTAACAACCTAACCCCATGGACTCACCACAGTACCACATGTTCATATCTAATACAGCATGTTTCAAGTGGAGCAAAATCTCTCAGTGAGCCAATCAGCAGCTTTTAAAAGCGTTATAATTATATACTTATTGGATATATACCCATAAAACAAGAGCGTTTAACTCAATTGCAATATATGGCTGACATAAAATGTGTTAACATGGTTTCCACTATATTACCAGGTACATACATAACCTCCCCCCCCCCCAAAACAAAATCAATATAAAATTCAATACGTCCCAAAATATAGAAAAAATCACATAAACCACCAAGCTAGCTGCTCTACATTAAAGACACTACACAGGAACAAAGCGCACCAGGTCCAAATTAAGCTCCCTGTTCGATCCGGTGCCTGAACATAAAGTGCGTAGACTGAGAGTACTGGTAGATTTCGTTGGTCTATAAGAGCCCGTGAGCGTAATCCATCCAGTCGCGGAGCCAATGGTGCCGCTCAAAGGCACGATCGTGGTATCCATAAGCACGGTAAGTCCGCACCCACTTGTTGCTACGGGTCTTCTGACATAGATAGAGAATTGGTAGTTTGTGTCGGGGCATAATGATACGGTTTGTGTGAGCGTCACAGATGCCGAGGAAGAGCTAAGTCTAGCGCGAGCGTACAGTTGGCCGCTAATTGCGCCAGTACTTCCTATATCAAGCTGTCCAGAACCGGTGGTGGTTGAGCCCCATCCTGTTTCTCCGGACTCGAAATCAGGATTGGTGATTGGTGTTGCGACTGAGCATGCCGTGGGAGTGCATTCTCCAGGAACCTGGACGGTGGTTGGGATAGTAACGGTGGTCACTTCACCGGGCACATTTACAGTGGTTGGAACAGTTATCGTTGTAGGCTCTCCAGTGACGGTGGTGGGGATAGTAACAGTACTGGTAACGCTCTCGCCAGGGAGAGTGACGGTAGTAGGAACAGTTACAGTTGTGGGCACGTCAACTGTCGAAGTAGACGTTGCTGTGACAGTGGTAAGCTCCGCTGGGAGTTGTATAGTTGTCGGGACAGTTACTGTAATCACCTCACCTGCTCCAGGTATGGTGAGAGTTGTAGGAATAGTAACAGTAATAGCATCCATTGCCGGAAGAGTAGTAGTGGTCGGGATAGTGACTGTAGTAATGTCTCCTGGTAGGTTTACAGTGGTAGGAACGGTAACAGTAGTCACCTCTCCCGCTCCGGGAATGGTAATAGTAGTCGGAAGTGTGACAGTTGTCATTTCCCCGGGCACATTGACAGTGGTAGGAACAGTGACAGTGGTCACCTCTCCAGCCTCAGGAATAGTCAGAGTGGTGGGAACTGTTATAGTGGTAAGCTCTGCTGGGAGCTGGACAGTTGTCGGGACAGTTACTGTAGTCACCTCACCTGCTCCAGGTATGGTGAGAGTTGTAGGAATAGTAACAGTAATAGCATCCATTGCCGGAAGAGTAGTAGTGGTCGGGACAGTGATCGTGGTGACGTCTCCCGGTACATTTACAGTGGTCGGAACGGTGACAGTAGTCACCTCTCCTGCCCCAGGTATAGTAAGGGTAGTAGGAACTGTTATCGTCGTCATATCTCCAGGTACGTTGACAGTGGTAGGGACTGTGACGGTAATCACCTCTCCAGCCCCAGGAATTGTAAGGGTAGTCGGAACTGTCACAGTGGTTACCTCTCCAGCCCCAGGAATGGTAAGGGTTGTTGGAACTGTTATAGTGCTAACTTCCGCTGGCAGCTGGACAGTGGTCGGAACTGTGACGGTAGTAACCTCTCCAGCTCCAGGTATAGTAAGAGTTGTCGGAACTGTTACAGTGGTCATGTCTCCAGGTACATTGACAGTCGTAGGAACTGTGACCGTGATAACCTCTCCAGCCCCAGGAATGGTCAGGGTTGTTGGGACCGTCACAGTGCTAACCTCTGCCGGGAGCTGGACAGTAGTAGGGACAGTGACAGTGGTCACCTCTCCAGCGCCAGGAATGGTAAGGGTAGTGGGGACTGTCACAGTACTAATGTCCGCTGGCAGCTGGACAGTGGTCGGAACTGTGACGGTAGTAACCTCTCCAGCTCCAGGTATAGTAAGGGTAGTCGGGACAGTCACAGTGGTAACCTCCGCTGGGAGCTGGACAGTGGTCGGAGCTGTGACGGTAGTCACCTCCCCAGCTCCAGGTATAGTAAGGGTGGTGGGAACAGTTACAGTGGTCATATCGCCCGGTACATTGACAGTAGTAGGGACAGTGACAGTAGTCACCTCTCCAGCGCCAGGAATGGTAAGGGTTGTCGGAACTGTCACAGTGATAACCTCTGCTGGGAGCTGGACAGTAGTTGGGACAGTGGCCGTGGTCACTTGACCAGCCCCAGGAATAGTAACCGTCGTGACTTCCCTTGGAGCGGTGACTGTAGTCGGTACCGTTACCGTAGTCGTAGAGGGCTTGTTACCGCTTCCGGGCGCTCGAACCGCAACTGCCAAATTGTAAGAAAAAATAAGTTGATATGCCAGTGCTTACTTCGTGGTACTTACCAGTAGTACCCGCTTTCGTAACCGTAGTTGAACGAGTGATTGTGGATGAATGAGTAACGGTTACCGTAGCCTCACGGACAACGGTAGCTATTTTGAAGTTACCATTAGTACTGGTATCATAGTAGACGGTAAATAAGAGGGAATCATTACTCGGAACGGTTACGGTAGATGTTTTTGCACTACACTCTGCTCCTGAACCTCTAGAACTGGTTCGTTTGTATAAGTTACCCCTGGTAGTAGATAAAATTAGTAATGTCCAATGAAAAACGCTATAGATCTAGATACCTACCTGCGTAATCCTCCACACTGTTGTTTACTATTCCCGCCACATTGTTTATTACACTCGTGTGCCCCCGTCTTTGTAATTCTTGAATCAAGCGAGTCGCCGCACCAACATTCACTATACAAATAGCCATTATTAGTTAGCTGCAAGCTGGAGCCATTGCTCGGAATACATATAGAAAGCTTACTTGTTATCCTCGACCCAAGCATACTGCCCATACTTTGGTTCACAAAAGGACAAACACTTCTCCACCGTCATACCATCGTTAAACCAAGACTTTTTCAACGCATTCACCCCGCGAGGTTCCGCGTAGCACCCCTCGTATGAAAATCCATTACCACCCGGATAGGGCGTAGGGATGGGCGGATCCGAATTATGGGGTCCAGGTCGAGCGACTGCAATTGAGGCAGAGCCTACTAGTACTAAAAGAGCGGATAGAAGCATTTTTGTGTTAATCAATGCTAGGTCACCCCTAAAAGATAGAAAACGAATGTAATCGACGGATGCCGAGAAGGAAAGATTGGAAGATCCATAGTGAAGGGAATGTTGTAATATTTGTATCTAGGACTTCCCAAGAGTGGATTTGTCGTCCCCTTTTTTTTATGATTCTTCTAGATCAGCCACAATCGAAAACGGGTCAACTGGGTAACAATAATCCTAGTAATCGTTAGTCTTGTTCCCAGACTTTGTCGCAGGCTGACGGGCTTGATTTGGTATCGCTCTAGTAGATATAAGTTCAATTGCGCCGCCAACACGGCCCACAAACCGCCAAAGACAGGCAGAAGTCTGTTTAGAGTAACTCAACATGGGTATTTATCCATGTTTCTAAGAGCTTGTTTTCTCTTCGCCACCCTTAGCGTAGTGCCCTCGCTAAACTCGAACCAATAACATTGAAAGGTCGATCAAGCTTAATCTCCACCATATAATAGTGCTGCAGGGTACCAGGTACCGATAACTAAGAAAGCTATCGATAGACCATCTTAAACTCGAGAAGACACGCGAGGTTCTGAGGATGTGGGTACTATTTGGTTGTATGGAGTAGTGATAGCAGGACTGCTTTGGCGACAAGTTATTAACGAGAGCACGTGCCCTTTCATTGGTCATCCTCTATCCAGAGTCTAGATTCGTGATCAAAACCCTGGATGACGATAGGCTGGTATTACGTGAATACAGCAAAAAAGAAACTACCATAATTACATTTATATGGTGGCCGAATTTTCCTGGAAGTATCGATACCGCAGGGATAGAACCTAGAGAGAGCCGGCCGGGGTTTGTTAGAAATAAAACAGATTTTGGAGCATTTTGTTTACTATAAGCTTTGTAGGAATGGAGTTTCAATAATAGGTTTTTTCTGTGTAAAACTAAACCACACCACAACGACGCCCACGGCCAAAAGGCTTCGAAACGGCCCCAAATGGCTCATTCTTGGATATCTACCAATTCTATTAGCATACACAACGAGAGATGCACGTACCAAAGTCTAGCTGTTGAGATAGTTGATACATGTATCTATACTTTATCATGGTGGGCGTCTAAAGGGCGAATTCATGATATGACAAAGCACCAATGAATCGTCTGCGGAAAGCTGCTTGTTAAAAAGCCTACCACAGATGGGACGGCCAGATAGCAGGAGGAAGGCTAGTTTAAGACACATATGTCACAGCGTGACCGTCACCATCAGTGCTCGTGTCCTAACCACACGTGCACGGGAGCCCTCCCAAGCAGCACTCCGACCCGAGTAGCATTGATCTAGCTTATTAAAACCGACCGTTAGACGGCCACCTTCACCCAACGGGCTTTCTCAATACGGGTAAAGTAGCCCTTCCATCTGCAAGCCAACCCGTTATTATACCGTACAGTTACAGCTTAACCGCCAGTATCTGCCCGAGCTAACGAGATAAGCTTCGCCCCTAGCTGCTGCGAGATCCGAGTATCTCTTCTCATAGCTGCAGACTCAAGTTTTATGGCATGGGGCATAGAAACTACGCCATATTTTGTTGATCTCGGTGTTGGTGTGCACCGAACCCGGCCCCGGGCCGGATTGTTAATTGCTCTCTAGCTCGGCCTTCCATGTCACAGCCTGGAACCTTGATTCTGCACGCCTAGATACCTGTAAGGCATCGGGATCTCGGGAGTATGGGCATACTCGCAGCAGGTAACAAGTACCCGAAAATGCACGTCCTAATCTGCAATTTCCATTGGAGTAGAAGTCAAAAATACACCAAAAACTTGCGGCTGCATATTCGGGTACTTCATGCCTGTCGCGAGTACAGGCGGTTTCATGTATCTATGGGCCAGCAATGCAGATCATGAACAGATGAAGGCAGCGCGCAACGCCTATTTCAATGCCATAAAGAAAGCAAAACAAGACCACTGGAACGCCTTCATCGCCAACGCCGACACAAAGGATGTGTGGAGACTGAAGAAAATGGCCAACAGGACGGAAGATAAGATTCCCACCCTCCCAAACTCACCCACCCCAACCCTCCTCAACAACAACCTCATCAACGCCTTCTTTCCCCCTCGACTAGAAGGCCCCTCCCCCTCCCCCATCCACTTCCCAAACACCCCCCTCATTACACCCAATGAAGTTCAAGCCGCACTGGGCCCCACCTCCAACCTCTCTGCACCCGGCCCAGACACCATCCCATATTCAGTATGGAAAGGTATCCACAGAGCCAACCCCCGCATAATTCCCGCCCTCCTCAACCCGCTCATCCAACATGGATACCACCCACTCTCCCTAAAAACCGCCAATGGAGTAATCCTCGCTAAACCAAACAAACCGGACTACTCCTCCCCCGCCGCATACCGGATAATCGTCCTCCTCCAGACCTTCTCCAAGATCCTGGAAAAAATAATAACACTCCGCCTGGCCGTAATAGCGAAAGCCGTAGGACTCCTCCACAACCACCAATGCGGGTCAGTCAGCGGCTTGTCCACTGGAGACGCAGTCACCACACTCATACACGAGGCCAGAGCCATGCAGCTGGCTAAGCTCAAAGTCTCCACCCTCTTCCTAGACATCAAAGGAGGCTTTGACCACGTCCTCAAACAACACCTAGCCTCCACCCTCTCAGAAAAACATACCCCCCCCTACATCACGAACTGGGTCCTCTCCTTCCTATCTGACCGATATATTACGCTGTTGTTTAAAGGATCCCCCAAAATCCCCACAGCCGTCCAAGTCGGAGTCCCACAAGGATCCCCAATATCACCACTTCTTTTCCTCATCTATATTAACTTCCTCCATCAACATGACCCCGCCCCCGGCATCTCACTCTCCTATGTAGACGACCTAGCCATTACAGTGGCCTCCCCATCATATGGGGAAAACATCGACATACTCCAGACCCACTACAATAAACTTACAGCTCTGGCCTCCCCGAAGAACGTTACATTCTCGGTGGGGAAGACGGAGCTAATGCACTGGAGAACCCCACGCGATAAGTCCCCCACCTCACACCTCCCAATACTCCTGGACGGTCAAGCCTTCCAGCCCAGCCCCATAGTACGATGGGTCGGATATTGGCTCTCCCCCAACTTCAACCCCAACGCCCACTTCATCAGAAGAACGGCGGCCGCAAGAGCAGCCTTCGGCATTCTCAACCGCTTCTCCTCAGCAGGAAAAGGCCTATCACCCGCAAATTGCAGGAAAGTTGCCCTCCTCGCCATCCGCCCCATGCTTACTTACGGAGCAAATGTATTTACCCCAACGTCAGCGCTCCGAGAAATGAATACCTTCTGGAATGCAGTCCTCAGATGGACAACAGGCTGCTTCAGAGCCACTAATAACCGTGTCCTATGGGCGGAAGCAAAAGCCCCCCCCCTAATACTATACCTCCACTTCCTAAAGTGCAAATTCGCCATCAGGATCCTCCGAGCTTCTCCACTAGCAAACCCAGTAACGGGAAGGACAGACCCCCACTTCCCCACCACCCTTCGAGACCGAACCTTCTCACACACCGCCCTCCTCAAAGGCCGACCCAACCCACCAAAGAAATGGAACTCCAGAGCGAAAAAAGGCGTAGCACATACACCTATTGAGCACCTCTGCTCCCTGCTCCTCCCCCTAATCGAGGAAGGGGTAGATCAAGGCAAGATGGCCCACAGAGCCAAGCAACAACTGCTGGATAACTGGCGTACCCATTTCCCAACTCCGACCTACTACACACACAGACTAGACACATCCCCCCTACCCTTCACACACCTCCACAAGTTCATCGCCACAAGAATCCATCAAATAAGATCAGGGAAAAGCTATCTACGAGCACAGCAATCCTGGATCAACCTACACACCTCACCCAAATGCCGGAAATGTGGCCTCGAAGACGAGACCCCCGACCACGCCATACTACAATGCAACGCCTCTGCACTCACCCGCTCCCAAACCTTAGAAGGAGTTACATCCCTTGAGGAAATCTGGGACAACTACACCCTTACCCTCCTGCTAGGGGCCTACATCACTAAAACCAGAACAGGCTACCCGGTCAGCCGGGGACCCTCACCACTCGAGTCAGGCTCAGGAACCTCATCCCCCCTCAGCTCAGTCTCCTCCTCCTCTACGTCATCAACAGTACTCATGGGCCCAATACCCACAGTCTACGCGTCCTAGTAAAGTCTCACTGAGAGCATAAGGCCAATGGCCAGAAGGATTTCACAGGGAAAGGCAACTAGCCCTCCCTCTAAATTGTTCACTGTTATTTATATGCGTCTATCTTTCTTTTGTTATATTTTATTTTTGCTTGGAATTTTGTTTTTTGCTTTATACTAGGGGGCGAGTTATAAGTTTGGAAAGGGGATAGGTTTCTTTACGCCATAGTTTATACTTTACGCGATCATTGTGTACCTAGAAACAGAAATTGAAATGATTTAAAAAAAAAAAAAAAAAAAAATGCAGATCATGAACCAATATGTACGGGACAGAGCGGAGATCTCCTAGACGCACAACGTACTCTACCTCAGTATTGACAAAAACCACACAGCATGAAGTCGAAGCCGAAGTTGGTAACGCGTGGCCTGATGAGCATAACACCTAAGACGTGGAGCACTCAATGTCACAGAAACAGGAGCATGATTGAAAAGTGCAAGTATTGGGCCATGAAGGTCATACATATAGCTGATATAGTAACGGCATAAGCCAAAACGCGCTTCCTCCTAATCTTGCTATTCTGATGGAGCCTCGTGTCAATGCTGTTTTACCTCTTGATCAAGTGGCGCAGAAACGTCTCTCTAGAGCCCGGGAACAGACTATTTCTGTGAGACCTGCGCATTAGGTACTGGGTCTCGCAATCAAGGTACGTGTATTGGTACTGTGGCCTCGGGTGGACGCTAGCGGGAAAGAGGGATAGGTGACAAGTCTACGCATTTATTCTAGATCTACTGATATATAACTACATGTACAACGTCGTCATTGATTCAACAAGTTGTCTTTCGGCCCCCTCGCCAGCTCGATTGAGGCTGGTCAATCGCGCCAACCCGTCTCTCTCCGTCATGCGCAAGAATAGCAGAGAACATCACTGCCATCTTTCAGTTCAAACTGACCGTCTAGCTAGGCCTATATATGATCGGTAGTTTCGAAGCGGAGGCTTTGTGACAGAACCCGAGTGATCAACGGTGAACATGCAGGGCGCCCCGGGCCCTCTCAATGACAACGCTACAATTCCGACTGGCCAATCTGTCTCACTGGCAAAAGTGCACATCTAGGGGCTGAAAAAATTGCGACGTCCGACGTCGTTAAACGCCCACAATCCAATCGTCGGGATATATGTATGACCTACAGCATATACCAACGGTTGTGCCTCTGTGGCGCTTGCACGTAGGACGTACAGCGTCACATCACGCATATCACGAAAACCTCCGCAAGTTTTATAGTCGACTTCCCTGGTGCTACGTTATCACTTATATATGGGCAGTAAGTGTAATCGATGGCGATCTCGGGTCTTTTTTTCGTGAGCGAGGTAAGTGCCCGTGATTTTCACTGCTCAGGAGGTGTTGTTGTAAATTTGTAAAGTCTATCTATAAATGACCTTCAGCGTCAAGAGGTCCATCGGCCGGGCTCAAGCGCCGGATTGGGGTTGGGGGATCACGTGTAGGGTAGGTACACTACCCGGCGCGGTTTCAGGGACCAAAACAATTCAGAACGAGGAGTCCAAACATTCCCGGGTCGGGGAGGGTTCCTGCAGAAAAGAATGGTGCTGGTACGTATTCTTCTCTTCTCAGCTCTTGCTATGTTTGGAATGGTATATGGAGGTTAACCTCACCAACATGAAGGTAGAGTACCTACACAAGGGATCTACACTCAGGCTAGCTAGCAGGTCATCTAGAGTACGGTAGTGGGACTCTCGAAATAGCTCCCAAAGGCTTGACAGCTAGCTAGCCAGACAGATTTGCACCGCACCCTGTCACTCTCAAACCGCGTCCTAGCTTCGCGATTAACGAAATTTAATTCTCCGCTTGGTGTTAGCCTGTCAAATTGCCTGCAGCGCCCACCCCCAAAAGTTGTGTGAGGCGCTTAGGAAGTTTATATCAGCAGCACCTCGTCCTCGCTAAACCCGATCGAGCCAATGGCGAAACAAAACCACCCTGGGGAAACGAAAGGGGTCGTGTTAGAGATCTCTGGAAACTTTGGCAGCTCTGCTACGTGATACGCAAATACCAGCGTGAGGAGAGGAGAGGGAGAGAAGGGAGGTCGTGACGCGGTTCGAAGTTATGCGCTGAGCGTTGAAATGCCTGGCCAGGTAAGGGAGGTGAGGTGAGCGCAGTCCGCGAGGAATGGACATATAGTTGCTGTTCGAAGCTTCTTTTTTCTGATCTTTTTTTTTTTTTCAAGGCTACAGCCCTTTGCTATTTCCATTTCGTGCGTGCACGTTTTTCTTTTTCTTTTTTCTTTCTTTTCTATTTTTCATTTCTCTGCTTGTTGATCAAGCGACTCAATCAATTCCTTTCTCGTCTCTATTAATTGGATCCCATTCACTTGGTAGTCCAATCCAGACTGTCGCAGGCACAGACATATAGACACGACAAACCAGTTAACCACAATGTTAGCTTACACACTCCTCCTCCTCCTCCTCTCCCTTCTCCTCCACACCTGTCGCTCCACGCCCCTCGTCCCCCGCTCCCAAGGAATCTCTGTCTCCCCTGTATCCCCGCAGACAGCGCCCGCATCTATCATCCCAGGCTTCAACAACTCCACCGCCGTCGTCCTCCTCGTCGCCCTCGTCTCACTTGCCCTCGCTATCCCCATGTTTGTCTACATCTGGCTCCGGCGGCGGCGGCTCCTCCGTGGCGGGCGCGGGGCGGGGGCAATGGTGGTGGAGCGGAAGATGTCAATGGCATCTATGGCCTCCGACAGCCCCCTGAATGCGCGGCGGAGAAGCACCGACTCAGGCGCAACGGGGGGTAGTAAGGAGAGCGGGCCGGCAATACCAAAGGTGGTTGTGGAGGACACCGATCCAGCGGAGGCAGAGCCCAAGACGCCCCGGACGCCGAAGGGGCCGGTCAGGACCGAGACTTCGTCGACGACGGGGACGGCCATGACACTGGTTGCGCGGCCGGTGCAGATCTCGGTGAAGCCGATTAGGGCGGTGGAGATCATGGTGAAGCCGGCGAAGTCGGCGAGGGAGGCGCTGTTTAGGGTTAGTGCTTCGTGGGAGAAGTTGAAGGGTTGATTGTTATTATTATATATATATATTTTTCTTTTGTTTATAGCTTCTTTTTTTTTACTTTTATTATGGTAATGAGCTCGAGGGATTGGCCCGAGATTACATCAATGGCTGTTCATGGGTTATGAGCTTGTATGTATGTGTGTATGATAAATGGAGATGTAAATTATTTTCTTTCATCTTTGAAGGGCTGTCTTGGTGTGATCACAGTATCAGTATATATATATCAGCTCACTGACCCGTGAGATAGCAAGCAAAAAGTGCAGCTCCCACGACTCAATTGAACAGTATGTCAATGATCAGTACCGCAAGATATTTCGCCAACAGAGACTAAAAAAAAACCTTGGATTCGAGCCCCCAAACACAACCCCATGTCTTGCTATATACCCCACATAAAACAACCCTTGAATGCATGCAATTGTAACCAACCCCGAACTGCCTCTAGCTCTGTCAGGCGCGCTGAAGCCCAGGCAGGCCGCCCAGGGACTACATGTACCCTAACCCTTCCGTCCACGCACGCTGCGGGGGTTAGACCAACTGTAGCTAGCTTAGACTAATAAGGGTTAGGGATTTAAGATTATGACACTGTGACCACTAGCTTAAGACAAGGCGGCAGAAGCAGAGAGGGACTTCCCTTCTCTCCCTTCTTCTCGTTCGAACGAAACAATCAGCCTCTCTGTCTTACTTCACACACATCCTCCGCCCGGGAGCACTATCTCGAAATAATACGCATTCGCACGAGAACTATATATTCCAACCCTCTCTTCATGGTAGCAGGACCTGCCTGGTGTTGCTGCGTCGGGATTCGAGCTGCTGGGTATTACTACTAGTCCTATGATCGATTCGATCTTGCGGCGCCGTGCTCGTAAAAGGAGGATACAGTCGTTATATACAGGATACTACATATGCAATTACATCACGATCGACTCCCAATCTACTACGGCACTTCGATCAAGTAGTGGGGTGCCCGCGGCGGGGTGGTTGTGATCGTTATGACCCTCTGTTGTCGATGCTGCTGACCCGCATTGTGGTAGAGGGCTTGCGGGGTGATGGAAAGAGATCTCTTAGCAGAGCCACGAAAGGACCACCTTACTATCCGCGAAGAATACGCACACACACACACAAATAACCCATGCCTCTGGGGATGCGACAACCATTACTTCCGTGCTATACCCACCGAGGTCTTGAAACCATCCGCAGGTCAAAAAACCACCCACGAGTGACACCCACGAGTGACACCCCATGACCCGCATCACAGCCAATCACTCGCCACCGTTACACACGCCGATCCCAGCACTTCAGCCTCACACCTCTCTGACCTCATTCACCTCACCCACCTCCCTCTCCCCCTCCCACAACAATAGTCAAAAATGCCGCTCCTCGCAATCCTAAGCACCCTCGCGCTCCCAGCACTAACACACGCCCTCTCATGCGCCCTAACCCCCGACTACGAACCCCCCGCCGTCGCCCCAGGCTACACGCTCCAGCTTGTCGTCAAGGGGATCAACACGCCGCGGCACATCACGTTCGATGATCGTGGGAACCTGCTTGTTGCGGGGGATAGATCGGGGATTATTGCGTTGGAGTTAGCAGAGGGGCAGGACGGGTGTGTGGAGGTGATGAGGAGGGTGGTGGTGGCGGAGAATGGCGGGCTGGATCTGTATCATGGGGTGGCGGTGAGTGGTGATGGGGCGACGATGTGAGTAGTTTGTAGTTTCTTTTGGCTTTTAGGGTTTTGGGGGTGGAGTTAGGAGCGGTGGTGGTTGTGGTTGAGTGTGGTAGTAGTGGTTGCTGGATGTGGTTAGTGGCTGCTACTAATGTCCCGATTTGTGCGGATTATTAGTATATATGTACATGTAGTATCACTACTGCTTACTACTGCTGTGTACAACTACTAATACTTCTGCTATCTATCACCACTATCAATTACTACTACTAACACACATACCCTCAGCTTCGCCTCCTCCACCACCACCGTCCACTCCTTCCCCTACAACTCCACCACCCTCAGCACCCTCCCACCCTCCGCCCTCATCACAAACCTCACCAACCCAGGCCATATCACCCGCACCCTCTACACCCCCCACACACACCCAAACACGCTCCTCGTCTCCCGGGGCTCCGCATCCAACATCGATGCCGGCTCCGGCGACATCACCACCGGCCGCTCCCAGCTAAAGGCCTTTAGCACTCTCACCACCAACCAGGACTTCACCACGTCCGGCACCCTGCTCGGCTGGGGCCTGCGCAACAGTGTCGGCGTCGCGCAGGATAACGTCGGCGGCGTATGGTCGGTGGAGAACGCGCCGGATAGTATTGTGCTGGAGGGGGTGGACGTAAATGAGAGAAATCCGGCGGAGGAGCTGAATTATCATGGGCTGCTATCGACGGCGCTGGAAACGCCAAATTATGTTGGGCCTAGCTACGGTACTCCTCCTTCCCCACTTCCCTGTCTTTCTGGCGCTGGGTTGAGCGCCGTCACTGATATAGGATGAACCAGGCTACCCCACCTGCCTCACAGTCTGGGACCCCACCGTCCTCCCCGCTCCCTACAACGCCCTCTCTGTCGGCGCCCCCCTCCCCCTCCCCCCCGTCACCACATGCAGCAACACTACCGCCGCTGTCCTACCATTCGACGCCCACACCGCCCCCCTCGACATCAAATTCCACCCGACGCTCCCGGGCGCCTTCGTCACCTTCCACGGCTCCTCGGCGCGCAAGGAGCCTGCGGGGTACAAAGTGTCGTGGCTGCCGTTCGCGGGAGGCACGCCGACGGGGGAGGTGCTGGATGTGGTGTGGACAAAGAACCGCACGGGCTGTCCGGGGGCGTGTCTTAGGCCCGTGGGGCTAGCGGTGGATAAAAGAGGAAGGGTCTGGTTTAGTGCGGATAGGAGCGGGGAGGTGTGGGTGATTACGGTGCTGGGGGTGAATGGGACGGAGACGGGCGGGGCGAATGGGACGGAGACGAGTGGTGGTGGCGGGGGAACTGGGGCGAATGAGACTGGAGAGACTGGGACGAGTGGGGGTGGGGAAGCTGGGGGGTCGGGGTCGGGATCGGGGTCGGGGTCGGGATCGGGGCAGGAGTCGGCGGCGGCGGGGAGGGCGAGCTGGAGTGCGGTGGGGGTGGTGGGGGTGGCTGTTTGCGCCTTTTTGGCTATGGCTTAGTTTTGGCACTCTGAGTTTGTTTCTTTCCCTTTTGTTTCTTTTCCCTTTTCCCTTTTCTGTTGTTGCTTCTCGCCTCCCTCTCTCTCTTTGTGTTTTCCCCTCTTCGCCCTCCCGCCCTCCCTCCCTGCGAACATTACCGGCCTATATATATCCATGCAAAACCAAATCCACCACCATCAGCCCAAACCCAGCTCCCGGTATGTCCCAGCAGGAAACCAGCCACCGAGTGACATCTCATGATCCCCATATCAAACCACGTAAGCCCAACCCCAGCGCAACAGAAATCTACAGTGCTAGGGTTTCTCAGACCAATGATTCTGTTGACGGTTTCTCTTTTATAAGGCATATATTCCTGGAGGGGAGCTGAGATGGGGATAGTGGTGGGTCATAGGGGCTTTCATTTCCTTGCTTCTACATAAATAGCTTTGTCATCTCTACTGTGGGGCATGCAATGTCTCTAGCTCTGTCGCAACCGTTCATGTCTTCCAAAACACGCTTCAATACTCACGGCGCCGTTATGTTTGTCCCCCAGAAACGTTTACTGCATTTGCGTTGGAACGTCGTGGGCGAGGAGCGGATGTTTGTAGAAAGAAGAGAAAAAACATTGCTTGCATATTCAATTGACTAACCATATATATCCCCCCCCCCCCTCCCGGGGCGCGGTGGCCCTCCCTTCACCAAAAAAAAGAGAAAAGAAATCCACTTGACTGATCATGAACACTCTATCCCCCCCATCCTACAGGTGCCTAAGACATATGGAAAATTGAGACAGAGACAAAATTAAGAATGTACGCAATGAAAATCGTTGTTTTGAGTATTTTGCTTTGTCGTGATTTGGTCGTTAAATCATGGATTCGTCGATATTGCAATGGAGACGCATGCAGTCTTGTGGTGTATGTCCATCGATATCTTTAGCGTAGGGTTCGGCACCACGATCAATCAAACATTCAACTACCTCTTCAAACATGCCCGACGCCTCAACAAGTTCTAGTGTTCCCCTGTCGTCCAAGGGATCTCTAAAACGAAAACAACCGGGATTCAAGTGCTCGTACACTCGTAAAATTCCGGCGGAGTGCCGCAATATGCAGTGGCGTTTTCCCGTAGCTCGTTGTAGCAGAAATATCAGCACCACGGTCAAGCAAGAGCTCGACCATCTTTACATGACCGCTGTCCGCCGCAATATGCAGTGGCGTTTCCCTGCCGACGTACGTTGTAGCAGAAACATCAGCACCACAGTCAAGCAAGAGCTCGGCCATCTTTACATGACCGCTGTCCACCGCTAGATGGAGTGGCGTTTCCCTGCCGTATGTTGTAGCAGAAACACGAGCACCACGGTCAAGCAAGAGCTCGGCCATCTTTACATGACCGCTGTCCGCCGCTAGATGGAGTGGCGTTTCACTGTCGTCTGTTGTAGCAGAAACACGAGCACCACGGTCAAGCAAGAGCTCGGCCATCTTTATATGACCGCTGTCCGCCGCTAGGTGGAGTGGCGTTTCCTCCTTGTACGTTGTAGCAGAAATATTAGAACCACGGTCAATCAAGAGCTTTGCAATTTCAACGTGTCCGGAGGAAGAGGCGTAGTGTAGGGCCGTATAAGACTCCGCATCAGAATTCAAAACCTCGGCCCCGTATTTCAACAGTAATTCGAGAATCGCTCTTTCTCCTGACATGGCTGCCCAATGTACTACTGACCGTTCGAATCCATCCAAGTCCAAGACACTAAATCCTTCGTCTAATAAATGCTTTACTGCCAGACGATTTCCGAAATACACTGCAATATGAAACGGGAGAGGAAATATCATCTCCTCAAGATAGATCGAATTCAATATAATCATTAAACTCAAGTTCGCCCGAAACCAAAAAGCACTTTGTTTATGACGTTTGAGAAATTCGAGAATTGCATCCTTCGATTGAATCTCATTGCAATGTTTAAGATGATAAACCAAGTGTCTGGCCCCATATTCGAGAAATGGATACGCGTATAGCTCGCGTTTAAGCGTACTTTTTGAGTGCGGCGAGTTTGCGGTAAATATTTCGAATGAGAAATAAGTTATACAAGCCAGGGCTATCTCGTAGTCGATTTCCAACAAGAGAACAGTACTCCTCAGTAGGTACTCCTGGACGGTAAGATGGGCAAGACGCACAAAGTTACTCTCGTCGATTATCACCAAACTGGCGCAGACCTCGAGTAGTGTCGCTTTTTCTGGCACATCTAGTTCGTCAAGTGCAGAAAGGTTTGGATTTATAGACACCGCTATTTGTATCTCTTCGACTGTGAGTGCCCTCTGTGCCTTCACAATCCAGGAAAGTATTTTTATTGCGAGCTCAGCAAGACGTTTCGGTTGTTGGCGGATACTCTCCACGACACGGTCGTATGTAGTATCTAGAGGATGTTTCTCTGTGTACGAGTCTTCGGTACCGAAGGATTCAAGCGCTGACAGAAGCTGATTTGCTGTTGTTTGCTGGCAGAGATACTCAATATGAAAATGAACGAGTAGAAACCTGCATACATATGGAACAAATCTTAATCAGGCTGTGAAAACAATAATGAAGTGGAGGTCACTAGTCCTTACATTCCATTCGCGCGTTCGGTGAGTTCGGAAATTATCCTATCTTCACATTTAGCCTTTTCAGCCAAACGCTTTACTCGTGGGTTCTCCTCTAGCTTCTGTAGAATATAGCTTTTTATATCTTCTCCGGAAGCCATGATTTTTATTCTTGGTACATTTTTGAACGACACCTGTATGTCTTCAGGGTAATATCGACTTGTTATAAATAAATTGGCACCGCCCTCCCCCAAAGAATGGAACAGGGGGAGAAATTTATCTCGTTGACCTTTCTGGTTACATTCGTCCAACGCGTCGAAGACTATAAAGACCTGTTTGAATGAAGCGAATATTGATAAAAGAACGATAAGAAGCTCCTCTAGGCTAGGTCGTTTGCCTTTGTTCACATGTTCCTCGTAAAGTGTGCTGATCTTCTGCGGTAGGTGTGGAATTTGGTACCCAAGCTGCTTAGCCAAGCTCGCAAGAACTAGAATAGGTGTTTGATTGTCTCTTTCTTTGTAATCAAAGTAGACATATGCCACACCGCAGTCAGACGCATCAGCCCGGTCTTTGAGATGCTCGATCACACCGGAACTACGTACAGGATTCATGAGGCATTAGTCGACTAATCCAAGTTTTAATGTATATGTTATATCAAAACAAATTCTAATACCTAATAAAAGTTTTCCCGGCACCAGCTATCAATGTTTAGTTAGTCTAGATACATGTATCTTACATTACTGCCTTTAGACCCAGTAGCATGTACTTACGGATCCCATAGCCCCAGAGTAATTTAGACGGATGCGATCCCATAATCCAACTCTGCATCTCTGGAGAATTTAAGAGCCACTCGCCAGTACCCTTCTGCCTCCGGTTGCTGATATCGGTGTGCTTTGTATCAAAATCATCAGAATACAGCCAATTGAGAACCACCTTGCGTCTTTCCCCTGTAAAACTCAATTAACCTCATACCCTCTGTGATAAATAGAGTACATAAAAAAGAGTTTATTTTGAAATTGTCTTATTGTTGTCTATTAAGTTTTGTAGAACTTTTTTGAAAACGCCGCTCTTTAAGAAAGGGCGGGGCAATAATTTGAGCATTGGGGGAGATCGTACAATAATAAATAGGAATCATATCCTACTTACTATCACGAGAAGCCTTCTCGTCACTTTGGGTTTCAGAAACCACCTGGATTCTGTTCTGGATATCTTTCACAGACTTATCCACAGCCACGACTTGCCCTTCGATTGATTGTGATATTGTACTTTATATAGATAAATCATATATAATCAGTACAGAACGACAACACTGTGTTGGAACAACTCACAAATTATCTATGCTCAAGGCAATCATAAATAAACTTTTACGCCTCTCGATATACGTCATAAACTGCGTGGTTTCTGCTTCGTCCAGGGGCCATTTCAAGGACTTGAATGTTTTCCGTAGCCAACTCCCTTTCATCCCTAGCTCCAACCTTAATCGAAGTTCTTGCAACTTAACGCTGCATTCTCGAAGTGAAATGTCAAGCTTCTGCAATTCAGACGAATTTGGAGCGCATCTATCGCCAACACGCTCTAATCTATGGAGCACTTCCTCCAGAGAGCTGAGTTCGTTTCTGAGATTACCGATGTCTTCTGATGCTCGTTTGACTTTTCCAATGTACCCTGAAGCAAACCCAGCAACTTGGCCAGTGATTTGTATGAGTCCAGCGATACTCGCGGCGAGCCCCACAAACTCCATGTTGGGGTATGTTGATTGATGCGTGTAAAGGATCAACGTTAAAGCCGCGGGGTTGAGGCTCTCGTGTAGCTAGTCTTCGTGTAACCACTCGAACGTACTCTATCACGTTGGAGGCCTTGGACAGCCTATCAGTGCAGGGTCTTCCCAAAGAACTATTTACGTCGTATTTACAAATCCTTTCGATCTTATACGTCTCCCGACCAGTTACTCATCTGCATAATTATAAGTATATCCGTTGAGAATAATTAAGAACATGTTATACCCTTTCAACCCGGCGACCAGCTGGTCAAGTAATCATCTATGATTCCCCATATGTATATATATCTGTGCTAAAAAGCTCCTACCCCAGTACTGCAGCAAGTAACGTTGAAACCACAAATCTGAGTGGTCCGCTGACACCCCTACCCAAAATAATAAATAAAACAAATGCTGGATTCCTTTTCACTACTAGATTACACAACAACCTACACCAAACCAGGCCTATGAATGATGGTTTTGAGTAACTACTCCCTTCGAATTGGCCTGTTCGATGATCCTCTTCTTATATGCCTGTATATCACCCGCAAACGCCTCGACAGTCCCGTTATCACACACCCACAGCCTCTTGCATACATTCGCCAACATAGTGACGTCGTGGGATACCATGAGCACACCACCCTGGAAATTGCGGAGCGCATCTGAGAGCGCATCCATGGCCTCCACATCCAAGTGATTAGACGGTTCATCGAGGACCTAATTTTTGTCAGCGGAACGAAAATAGGAGAGTAAGGATGAGCGGGAGACACACTAAGATATGAGGATTTGTCAAGCTCAAACATGCAAACGCTACCCTACTCTTCTGACCTCCTGACAGCAACGCCATTTTCTGCAACCCCGTTGTTCCCGTAATACCAAACGCTCCCAGATGTCTTCTGTACTCCTCATCTGTTCTGCCGGGGAACATCTTTGCGCAGAAACCCACAGCGCTCTGTGTTAGGTCGAGTGCGTCAACGTGATGCTGCGCAAAGAATCCAATTCGGAGTCGCGGATTCTGTGTAATCAATCCACCAGATGGCTGCAGCTGTCCAATCAACAACTTCAATACCGTAGTTTTACCAGCTCCGTTAGGCCCGACAATACCAATTCGAGAATCAAGCTGTACATCGAGATCGACCTTCTCCACTATTGGCTTTCCAGGGGTATATGAGAAGGACACGTTGGTCATCTGGATGATCGGAGGTGATAGTTTCTCGACCTCCGGGAATTTGAATACGACTGTGTACTCGTCATCCGGAGCCTCGAGTTTTGGCAGTTTTTCCAGCTTTTTAATACGCGATTGGGCTTCTGACGATTTCGCGGCATTGTAACGGAACTTGTCGATGAAAGTTTGGAGATGCTTTCGGTAGGCCATCTGGTTCTCATATTCACGCTTTGCGGTCTTGCGACGCTCTTCTTTCGTAGCGTAGAAAGCGTCGAAGTTTCCACCTTTATAGTAGTCGAGACGCTCAGAGTGCTGGTGAATGATATCTGTAGCGACTTCGTTAAGGAAGGCTCTGTCGTGGGAGACGACGAGAACAGTGGAGGGGTAGTCTTGAAGATATTCGGACAAGAAAGTAATAGACGGCACATCCAACATGTTAGACGGCTCGTCGAGAAGCAGAAGATCAGGTTTACAGAACAAAGCACGAGCAAGGGCGAGACGCATACGCCAACCACCAGAGAATGTCTTGGTAGCGTGCTGTTGGCGTTCCTGTGAGAAACCAAGACCTGCAAGAATAGACGCAGCGCGAGATTCGGCCTTGTCGGCTTCCATTTCTGCGAGCTTGGAGTGGATATCGGTGAGGATAGTGTCCAATTCTTCACGCTCCGTATTGGGGTAGCCGGAGGATGCAGAGACAGTGATGGGATCTGGGCGAGACTCAATGGCAGCGAGTTCCTTAGTGATGCGCTCCTGCTCTGCGAGAAGATGTTTACGCCAAACATCGGCATCGAGAACAGCCTTCAAAGCAGGAGTATCATCTCCCATTATCTAATAATTATTAGGACTGGGCTTTATAGAGTAAGGATTAAAAGGGAACCTACCTCTTGCTCGACGTGCAAAATTGTGATATGCGTAGGAATAGCAATTTCACGTCTGGAGAGTGCGCGAAGTAGGGTGGATTTACCGATACCGTTCTGACCGACCAAACCATACCGTCTTCCATAGGCCAAAGTAAGCGTGGTATCGCTCAATATCCTCAATCCTCCGATCTGTACATCCACACGGTCCAACTTGATATCCTTGCTCTTCCCTTGCGACCCCGATCCCAAAGTAAGAGGATTGACCTGCATATAAAAATCGTCGTAATTCTCCTCGTCTGTAGTGATTAACTTTGACGCCTCGTACGTAACGTTCTTCATGACCTTCTTGTCTTGTTTTGCCTTGATCTTCCTCTCAGCCTTTTCGAGTTTCTTCTTGTCAACCTTACTCTCCACCTTCCTTGTTCCAACTGCATCGATATCAATCCCAGTACCGACAAGACCCATAGTCGAAGATATGTTGCGCTGCGACGCCATGTGGATCGTCTGGTCCAACTTCTTCGCCTTACTAGACGCAAGCTTCCTCTCATCTCCATGAGCCTCATCGAGCTGTCTCGCAAGCTTCTCTACCAGCGCGGTGATCGACGCTTCTGACACCGACGGGGGTGCCGCGTCGAGGAGAATCGATCTTACAGTGCTGATTGCTTCAGCGAGCTCAATGTCCGCGTCAGGCGAGGTTGAGGTCGACGCATGGTTGAGGAAGCCAACAGAGTACTCTGTGATCACTGGGTCGAGAGATGGGAGGACGGCAGATATTTCGGACTCCATTATTGGCGATTTGAGGTGTTTGACGGGGTGGCAATGGCGGGGTCTGCGTGAGGATTTGTTCGTTATCGATAACGTGAGGTTTGACAATGCTATTGTCTCGAGCGCTTTAAGCGCGGCTGAAGCACCACGAGTGCGATTTCATGTTTTCAACATAATTCATGCATCATGACCAAAAGGTTGTTACTTTTAGTCCCACGAAATGGCCCTTCCAAAGTCTATCCTCCTTTACCCTCTATTTTCGCAATACCGAACCTACCACATAACCAGTCACTTCACCATTAATGGATACTACGACGTTATCCCAAAATTAAAAGGTGCCCTCTGATGACCAGTTAGCTTGTCCGTTTATTTCTCCCTCCCCCAACATTAGCAATGCTATAGTTATAAGTAGTCGGCATCAAAATCAGGCACAAGGTACTGAGCGCCGATAACATCGATATCCTCAATTGCAAGTGATAGCTTACAGATCTAGATGCCGAAGCCCTCGAAGAGGCCCTATCCAGCCCCACATAACCTCGAACTAGATCTGTCATCTTGCATTGATTACTCTAGAGTATTAACCTCAAGCTGCCAATTACCTCTTCGATGTGAGAAACACAAACGCGCCAATGGCTGCCACATTGCGTACGAAAGACAATCAGTACATAGGGCTGAAAAAGCGCCATGCACTCTAATTGACGTCCAATCTTATTCCTTGCCTCCCGGGGCACACCACCAGTCCGGAAAATCCTCCAAGTGGCCAGTTGTGAAATTCGGAGGATGCGGCACAGTAAGAACTCTCTTTAAGCGAGTGGTGTAATAATGTCTCAGTGCAGCTCGTTTGTGGGATGGCGTGAATACTGCGCATGAAAAGGTTGGCTAGATTGATTGGTTAGAGATTAGTTGGAGTACGGGGTATCACGTTAGTGGTGTATTAACGTCGCCACTATGCAGCTTTTGAATGTGGCGAAAAGAGCTTCCAAATTTTGGCACCACGAGCTGGCGAGACATGCGATGTGAGTCTCCGCCCAAATTGCTAGAGTTCATGTGCAACTCATGGGTAAAATCCCCTATTTCATACGTTTGACAAGCAGCTAGGCATCCAAACTGTCAGCGCAATATCTATCCGCGAGGGGTTGGCCTGTAAAGGTTTCTATTGACTGAGTACCTAATGCTGCTCCTGAAGTTAGAGTGTTCGGTAGGGTCTAGGTGGCGATCCGGATCAGAAAACGTTATGAAAAGTTGGAGTGGTAGTTAGCCTTAACTAGATTGGGGCTACGATATTGACTCCAAGGCTATCAAATGTCAAAGACAATTATTGGGTGTAGACTTATCGATAGAGATAACTAGCAGACTATGTCTTCCTCCATGAGAAAAAGGAGCGCATAACTGTCGTTATCCTCCTCCATATGCATTGAATATAGTTATATCGGGATGTTATATATGTCTTGGCCCCTTAGAAATTTATGCTCCCTTTGATTGCAGCCGGAAATCTACACATTATATATACCCAATAAAACACCCTATATACTGTGGCTATATAGGGTAATATGTAAGTACTCTATGAACTCGATCGCCCCATTCGAGGATCTAGCTGCACATACAGATTGGACAGAAAGTCTTGTTTTATATACCCAGTAAGATGTGCAGAGCTAGAGGCCTGTTACAAATCCTTCTGTTTTGGTCCTGTAATATGCGGAGAGACATTGATTGAGATCATGAGCCTTGATTCGTACTATTCGAGATAAGATAACGAGTGTGCGAGTGATACCAAACGTAAATTTGGTCCCGTGCCGAGATTTTAGCGGAAAAAGAGGTGGCTTAACTACATGTATCAGATCTGGGGATCACGTCATGACAAGTGTCTACTCTAGATCACGACTTGACTAATATCCACTTCTCCCTCCCCCTCTACCTCCTGGACTAATAACTTGCCTCTGCACTGGTGATCTCTTTCTATCAAACTTTTCTTGTACCTGCGTTCTGGATCGACGGACACCTGCTTGGATGACTGAATGAACGTCAAGACCGTTGTGGTTCTAGCATCAGGTCCTAACACAAGCACCCAACCCCCCACAATAGAGATTGCAATGTTATTGACTGATCGAGTATGTGTCCACGATATCAACACTGTGTTTACATTACTACTTACATATTGTCGAGACATCGAAAACACCAAGGCCACAGCCAATCGACTTTCATAACGTGAAACCGGAGCTACGGTTCAGACACACCATACAAAAAATGGAGGGGGCCGACCCAAAGTGCAGAAAGTGGCAATTGCCGTTCATAGATGAGTCCAGATTTCACCAGACCACAAACCGATGAAACTCCGTGGTGCACTTTGAAAGTGATAAAGGAATGAAAAAATTGGTCGGCCAAACGCGTTGTTGTGATAGTTGCCCTATCGACGCCTCTAGGTAACAAACACCCGCTTTCGGTAAATACTACTAACTACTGGCGAGTGATACATTATGATTGTTTATCCTGGCCAATCCAGCTCAGCCCTCGGTGGGGAAAAAAGACCTCAGCTGAAAACTACTAGCATCCCGATCCCCGATCTCGCAATTGACTTCTCAAACAGCGCTAACTGACAAAATCTCCCCCAAATTTCGCTTCCCACTGGCCCTAGTTGTCACGCCATTCACTCAACGGGTAAAGTGGGCTGCGGGCCGGTTCGGTCGGTTTGGAGTTGAGTGGGTCAGCCCCCCCGCGGGGGGGGGGGGGGGTGGGTCGTCATAACAAACATACCAAAGCTGTTGTTGTTGTTGTTGTTGTTTTTGTTATGGGCTGCGGTCGTGAGGTCGTAAACAACACTTTTTCGGGAATGATACATGGATTGTGGCTGCCAAAACCCGGATAGTACAGCTGAACCGTGGTTTGGCTTTTTATCCAGGCCAGTCGCCCTAGCTGGGTTCCTGCAGCAGCAGCAGCAGCAGCAGCACATCCGCACACTCATACATGTACCTCCTGCCGTCACACCGACGTAATTAAAAAAAGACACGACCGAACCTACAACCTATCTGTAGGCAGGCAATCATTTACTCTCCCATGTACTCCACTCGGCGTACTACCCACCCCCAGTACGTACCACCATGATATGGTGCAGCAAAACACAACAATTGCGGTTTTTTTTCTCTTTTCCGGTCAATCCAGTCACTACCCGTAAAGAATAAACAAAAAAAGCTTCTATTTATTACTACTAATCTAGTTTAAACTTTCCTGAAAGAAAAAAAAAATGCAATTCATGCAGGCTCATAAATTTCTCTCTCTCTCTTTCTTTCTTTCGTTAATAGTTACAATGCCATATATGTACCATACGTGAAGTAGAGGTAAAAAATGAAAAAGTAAAAAAAAAAGAAAAAACACTACAACCTCCTCCTCCTCCACCTCCACATATACACACCCTCCCTGGGTATATGGGTGTTCATTACGTCTTTTGGGTAGACAAAAGAAAAAAAAATAGTAAAAAATATAAAAAAAAGACCTTCCTCCCCTCCGGCATTCCTCCCCCCGCATCACCAGACCAGACCAAACCAAACCCATCCATCCATATATATATAAGTATATGTATCTACCAGCGCTCACCGCCAACAACATCAACAAATCACAAAACTACACTACACTCACTACCAACACAACTAAACCTACAACAACAGCGCACCACACGCAACCCCCATGCTCCCATCTGAAAAAATAGATAGAAAACTCGTTCGCTCGTTCGTTTCTTTCCGTTCGTTACGTTGCCCGGGGGGGAATTGGCATGCACAACTGATAACCATGAACCGACAAAGAAAAAAGGGCAAAGGAAACAGAGAAAGAAAAAGGTAAAAAAAAAAGAAAACTCGTTCGGGTTAAGAAAGAAAAACCATCAATTCATCGTGATCATAAGATACCAGTAGAGGGGGGTGAAGGAGGCGGGCGGAGGGGGTATGGGTATATGGCCCCGCGGACATGATGGGCCCTTTTGTGGCTGCTTTCTTCTTTGATTCCTTTATCCTCCTGGCGAGTCTGTGGGCTGGTGAGTATGTGTGGTGGTGGTAGTGGTTGTGGTGGTTGTTTAGTAGTTGTAATAGTAGCTTTTTTGTAGTAGTAGGTAGTAGGTAGTAGCTGTTGTATTTTGTTCTCGTAGCAGTGATCCGCCGGCTGGTGTATGTATAGTATGTACGAATGTATGTATAACCGTTTAGCTCGCTGACTTCGACGGGGCCGAAGAATAAAGCCCATTAAAGGCCCCTCGCAGAGCCCACAAACAAGCCTCGGAGCAGAAAAAGAAGCCTCAAAAGAAAGAGAGAAAAAGAGACCTGAGCAAAAAACAAAAAGACAAAAACACCCCGGAAAAAACTAGTTAGTAAGATAAAAAAAAAAAGGGTATGTGAGATGGATAATGAAAGACAAGGACCGAACAACAGAATTCCCCCGCCATTTTGCAAAACAGAAAAGGAAAAAAAAGAACCCCAAACTTTTTTTTGATTCCCCCGGGACCCCCCGCAAAGCAAAGCAATGCATTAACGCAAGGAGAGAAAGGGTAAAAAAAAAAATAAGCTCAAACAATAAGAGGACACGAAAGGGAAACAAGGAGACTGAAAAAAAAAAGGAAAAGAGATTAGAAAACGACAAAAAACAAGAAAAGGAAAGAAAAAAAAACACCGCTGATGATATACCCCAAACCCGAACAAAACCGAAAACCCAACCCTTATTTCCCATTTACCGCTAGCCCCCCAGTTAGTTCAAGCTCTCTCTTTTTTCTCCTATCCTACACGACGCCTACCAGATGCCCTGCCGCGGCGCCCCTCGCAAACTCCCACCCCTCCTCAAAGCCCTCAAAGCTGCCCCTGCACTCAAACCCATCCTCCATATCCAGCGGGCTCTCCACCAAATCTCGCGCGTCATCCACGATACTCTGCATCGTCCTCTTGAGCTTCCCCACATGCTTGACCAGCTCCCTCAGCATATCCGTGTCGAACTGCACCTTCTTTGGCTTCCCTGTGATGACCGCGTCGTCGCTCTGCCCGCGCACGTGGTGGCCCCCGCTCTGCTGCATCCGTTCCATGATCCCCTTTGCAACCTCGACAGGGTCGTTCCTATCGATTGTTTTCCTGCTCTGCGGCGAGATGTTAGGCGGTGTGTGGCCGAACGAGCGTCGGAGAAGCGGCGTGCTTGGTGCGCCGATGCCGCCGCCGCCAAAGACGTCGTCGTCGGGTAGTAGAATTGAGGAGCGGCGGTGAGAGCCCTTGGAGGGCGGTGTCCGTGAAGGTGCTTCGGGAACGGCGGGAATTGGCTGGTCGTCGTCGAGGGTCGCCAGAGCGATGATGCCTTCGGCCTCGTCAAAGATGGCTTGGTGGACGCCATTGCGCACGCCGGAAGAGATGGCGAGCGAGCGAAGATGTTTCAGATCTGCGAGTCGTACCCAATTGGATCAGCCCCGCCATTCATCACCACGCCTTGCAGTAGTGGGGGAAGGTGGGGGGGGGGCGGTTGGAAAAAGAAAAGAAAGGAATGAGGGAAAATGAAAAAAAATGAAACATGGAAAATGTGATGTCTGCATACCTTCAACCAGCAGGGCAAACTCTCGCACGCAGCCAAGATGCCCGATCACACTTGCTTGCTGCTCCTCGATCGCGCGCGGGATCACCATATTCAAGCATCCGCCCTCATCATCGTCGTCCAGGAAATCCTCATCCCAGTTCTCGCTCGGCAGTGGCACCCTCCCATGCGAGTTGACCAGTGGCATGCTCTGCGAGCGGACATGATAGCTTGGAGCACGGCGCCCGGACCTTGAGGAGGTGAGCATGATGCTCTCCTTGGCGTGGATTGTCTTTGATCTCTTTGCATATGACGGCTGTGGCTGCGGTGTCGGGCTAACGCTCTCGCTCCAGTCCAAGATGCTGCTATTCGTCTCGCGGATGCTCGAACCGTCGTTAATTGAGAAGCCCTCAGGCGCAGTGCCAAACGACGTGCTGCTGGCATTGTTGCTGTGCAGGCCTAGCGACGCGGCTGACAGGAGCCCGCTGTACGGGCGCAGCCCCCCCGAGACAATCCGCATCCCCTCGTCATCGCCATTGCGCGACGGCGCATCCCAATCGCTGCTTGAGCCGTCCTCGTCGTCGTCGAATGCCTTGTGGGCGACCGACGATGTTGTTGTTGTCGTATGCATATTACTACTACTATTGTCGCTATTCTTGAGACTGCCAAACTCCCCGCTCACGTAGTGCTTGTACCGCAGCGGGTGGGGTGCGTGGTGGTGGTGATGGTGCTCCAGCCCGCTGCCAAACGACTCGTCCTGCTGCTGGTCAAAGAGCTGGTCCGCTCTTGGCGTGAGTTCCGACGCCCGCGTGCGCAGCGAGTCAAACACCGTATCGCTCTGGAAATCCTCCATGTTATCCTCGCTGCCCACCAGCGTGGACGCCCGCTCCGAAGCGCTGATAAGCGACAAGCGGTGCTGGCGGTCGCTAATTGACAGCGGCACGATGTTCTCCCCGTCGTCCAGATCGAGGTCAAAGTCGTGATGATGGTGGTGCATGTTGTCGTCTGCATCGGCATCATCATCGTCATTATCGCCGTTATCGGAATCCTCGGGGGAGAGCGACGATTCGTGACGGTCGCCGTTCTCCTCCTCGTCCTCCCCCTCTTGCTGCTGCTGGTCGGGGTCAGGCGAGTAGGCGCGCGACACGAAGTCCATGTTCCCGTCTAGTTGGGGCAGCGACGGGACCGGTGGGATGTCCTCCTCGTGCGATGCAGAGCGTGTGTGGTAGTAGTGGTAGTGATGATGGGAGGAGGGGGAGGAGGAGGAGGGGGAGTGTGTGTTTGAAGAAGAGGAAGTGGAGGTTGTGGTGTGAGAGTGTGTGTGGAAGGTATTACGATGGGTGGTGTGGGTGGTGGTGGTGGTCGCATGGGTGCCGGTAGCACAACTTGCAGCTGCTGCAGCGTCGGTGCCGGCGGGGGACGACTGATGATCCTCCATCCTCCCAAACCCGAAATCCAGCGCGCTGAGCCCATCGCAGCAGCCGTCGACCCCATCGCCGTTCTCGCACGTATTCAGGCTCCGGTAGTGGATCGGGGCCGTCTGCAGATAATTCACGCCCGACAGCGACCTGCGGCGCGCACTATTTCTAGGCGAGGTCGCACCCATCCCCATGCCCCCCATCCCCAGCGCCATCCCGGTCGACGAGCGCCTAACCGCCGCCAACTCCACAAGATCGTCCATCCGCGACGCTGGCCGCGAGTCGAAAAACAGCGACGACTCGGCCCCTGAGAAGACCGACTCGCTGTCGATGTCGATGTCGATGAGCAGATGCTGCTGCTGCTGCGTGGTTGTCGGTGTCGGTGCGAGCATCAGTGTCGGCCCGATGAGTTCCCCGCGGCCACCACCGCTCTTCCGCAGCTGCTTCGGGTAAATCCTTCGTACCCCGCTGAAGGGCTTTCTAGGGAGCTTCAAACCCCCTGGCGAGGACGGCGTGGAGGAGGTGGTGGTGGTGGGTGTGTGTTTTGATGATGAAGGCTTGTGACGTTTCGGGGTGAAGAAGCCTCGCCATGAAGTCGTCGGCGGAGGTTGTGCAACTGCTTGCTCTTGATGTCTGTGAGGAGAAGCAGCAGCGGAGTGCGAGAAGAGGGCGGAGGTGGATGGCCGTGACGCATGGATCGGCGAGATGGGGGAAGATTGGCCCTGGGCAAATGATTGGTGAACGCCCGCAGTGGAAGGTCGTTGTCTGTGGCTTGGCGAGTGGTGGTTCGCTGCTGCCGGGGTTGTTGTTGCTGTTGGTGTGGTTGCTGCTGCTGCTGCTGCTGCTGCGGGTGCTGTAGTCCTGGTTGGGCTGCCTGTGGTGGGGCTGTCATGCTCCCCCCCGTCCTCAGCTGGCCTGGCAGCATTTCGCGACGACGGGTTGCGCTTCACCAGCTTGTTCCCCGTCCGCGGTCTCGAGCTGGACCGCCGGGCCCCAAACGGCACCAGCGAACTCGACGTGTACGGCCTCGACCGCGACGAGAACGAGCTCGTACTCCGCGACTGCGACGTTGACGAGGTAGGCGAAGACGGTGTTGACGAGGAGGACGAAGACGACGAAAACGACTCTGAGAGGCGGTGCAGCCACCGGCGCGATGTGGATGTTCGGGGCGAGGGCTCATCGGGGAACAGTGTTTGCCCGCTGTTGTTGTTGGTATTGTTGTTGGTATTATGATTTCCACCAGTACTCCCATTGACATATCCGCCCCAGCTCTTCCTTGCACTCTTCCGCTTCTCGCTCCTTGGTGTGACTGTCTCTGGTTCTCGGATTATAGGTGTGGTGTTGTTTTTTGTATTGGTGGTGGTGGTGGTGATGGTATTAGGGTTCGTAAGCTGGTCGTGGGCGTCGTTCGGCTTGCACGGGCGTGCCAGAGCGAACCCGCAGGCTGCTATTCCGACCGTGGAAGTCGCACATAGCTGGACGCGGGCAGTCTCTGTTAGTCAATCCGTTCCCCGTTTCCTGTTTTTCCTGTACCTCTGTAACCCAAGTGAACGAGACAAAAGAAACACGTGCAGTAGGAGTCGTGGTGGTAATGGTTGTGGTGGTAGTAATAGTGGGGAGTAGTAGCAGTAGGGTGGGTTGTGGTGGTGGTATGATGTGATGATAGACAAAGAGAGAGGTAAGAGGTAAGGCAGAGAGAGGTAGGTAGGTAGTGAAGAAAATAAAAAAAAGTATACATACAGTAGAAACGGTTTTCATATTTCCAGTTCCCGGCACGGTAAAACACTTAAAAGAGCGACGACAAAGAGGGCAGGGCGATCAACAGAAATATACAATAGTCCAGATATTGTATCATGAGCATTGCATCGTGATACGGTTTCCTTAAAGAGTGTGAGTGAGTTTTGATGTGACTTAGTAAGTAAGCTGGGTAGTACCGGTTGGAATGGGGTTTGTTTGTATTGATTGAGTCAATATCAAAAAAAGGTAAACAGCCCAAATCAAATCGAATCGAAAGGAATCAGAAAAATAAAATATAAAGTAAGAGAAAAAATAATGACCGCCCCGTATGCTATGCTATGCAGACAGGTACCGCCGGCAAGTGTAAAATAAAATAAAGGCTAGCAAAAAACCCAGATCGATCGGTGTGTGGGTAGGGAAAAGATCTAGATAGGAGGAGGGGTGGTGGTGGGTGCGTAGTGGTTGGTTAATAGTAAGTAATAGTACTTGGGGGGTGGTTGTGGTTGTGGTTTTGGATTTCGATGTATCTTATTTTCGATTCGGTTCCCTCGTTTCGAATTCCGTATCTCGCAGCAGCAGCACCTAGAGGTCGAGAAGAGACGGTGAGCAACCCAGTACCCAATAACCTTCTTTCCCGAGTATTGTTCTGTCTGTCTACAGTTGCAGGAGAGGAGGGGAGGGGAGGGGAGGAGGGGGGGCGAAGAAAGAAGCAAGCCGGGCCTCAAACAGACGAATGAGTGCAGAAGAAGTAGAAGAAAGGGCCCTCGAGTGAGAGAGAGCACCGACGAAGTAAGGCAAGGCAGAGCTAGTTAGAGAGTAGTTGAGACTAATCACCTAGGTACAGACAGCCAGAGAGCAACGAACGAACGAGCGCACGGCCAAATAGAAGAGAGAGTGAGAGAGAGAGAGTAATGGAGCTAAAAAAGGATCCGGTAAGGCTCAGACAGAGTAAGGTATGGTACTCAAATTCCAAGACCCGTCTGTGTCTGTGGTTTTGGATTTTGAATATCCTTTTTTTTTTCGCGATATATATCTGCGCGCGGATCTTTACTGTGGCGCCCTCGAATGGGTAGTGCAGTAGACAGGTCTCGTGTTTTTGATCAAAAAAGTCGATATATCCGGATGGGTGCGCGGGGGAAATATTAGAATGATAACTCCTTCCTTCCCTTCCCTTTCCTTTCCAATGTCTCTTTTTTTATCTAGGTATTCCTTTCCCTTCCTTCCTTCGAAACCGGTCGTGGATTGGATTGGATTGAATAGCTAAGCTTTGATTTGGTGGGAAGCTTTTGTTTGTTGATTCAGAATTCGAATTCTCGAATAAATATTCGCAAATTCCTTCAGCCTGCCCGGGGGGATCCCAACAAACACAAGAATTCCAATTGCAGGAATGTCCGGTCCAAGAAAAAAAAAAATACTCTATCGCGAAAAGAAAAAAAATGAATAAAAAACACCACCGAATTCAATTGTGTCTGTTCTTGTGCAGCAGCCTGTGACCGTGGATAGGGGAAGAGCAGGAGATCGGAATCAGCTAATCGGTAGACAGAGACAGAGACAGAAGCAGCAGACGGAAATGCAGTACAAAACGCTCAGAAGAAGAGGATGGGTGTTCAATGGGGTGGAGGGGGGGCGAGGAAGGGACAGACAGCCAGCCAGTTGCTATGCTATGTGACGCTGTGCAATGTAGGGAATATGCATGTACACTTTGGCGTACATACATACATGCAGAGTGCGAGAACTGAGTGATGGCAGCAGGTGTAGGTGTGTGTATGTAGGTGTAGAGTGGGATAGGATGCACATACCGAATCGATAGGCAGTATCACAATCAGAAAGATGATAGATATCCCAATCCCAGTTATCGTGTGGACTTGTGGGTTATGCAGTATCAGGCCCTGCTTCTGAGTACTCTCCACCTAGTGGGCAGTAGAATAGAGTAGAGCAGGTACCCGCAGTAGTAGTAGTAGACAGGAGCAGTAGTACTCTAGTTGGTAGAATAGTAGTACTAGTTGGAAACAGATGTTGTTTTGTTTCTGCCCTAAGCTTAAGACCGATATATCAGAGCAGTATGTAGTGGGAACAGCAGCAGCAGTAGCAGTACGGGTAAAACACCACCAAACCGCGCAATCGCAGGAAACGAAACAGAAACAGATCAGATCAAACCTCCCCAAAGAAGACAGAGACCCCAAAAAAACACAAAACAACAAAAGAGCGTGAAGGGCGCTAAAGCCAGATCTGAAAGAGCAAAGGAACGAGTTACAAGAGTAAAGGCAGACTGTAAGAAAAACCAAAAACACCCGTCTGGTTGGTTGGTTTTTCACTGCGAACAACACAGCAGCAGTTCAATATCCACCTCTTTCTAATTCGGGAACTCAAGAGCCCATCGCTTAGCCACAAGAGGAAAGGGCCCATACGGCTACGGGTGCGAGACCAGGGGCGGCAGCAGGGGCCCAGGGGCAGCCAAGAATGGAATTAAACCCCGTCTCGTCTTTCACTTCACTGCTGCCAGCCCCCGATGGATGCCCCAGCCCAGGAACAGGAATAGTGGCTACCGCGACTAGAGCACCTCCATCCATCACCTACCACCTTAGCTGTGGCATTTTCTTTCCTCATCGTGTCTCTGCTTGTTTGCCTTTCCCTCATCCACCTCTTCTGTGGCAACACAACCATGACCTTGCACGCCCTGGCCTTGCCTTTCTGCAATTTGTTTGGTAACATCGGCGGCGCTGTGTGACGATGCTGCATTATCCGCGCGCTGTGCTTTTCTAGAACACCAAGATGGAGAAAAGAAACGATCACATCAACCACTCATCCAGCTAGCACAGGCACTCGCCCAAAAAGAAACGAAACATTATCTCCACCCCCAGTCTCTTTTTTCCCCGTACTTAATCTCCCTCGCTGCTCTCCCTTCCTTCGCACCCATCACCCAGCCAGGGAAGGCGAAGAGGGATTGTCCTTGCTTACCTCCGGATATATCGGAAAAGTAATATTATTCCACTTTCAATTACCTGTGCCGTTCGTGGGGATCAGGAAAAAAAAAAAGGAAAAAAACGAGATGAGATTTAAAACGATGAGCCAAATCTTGCCCTGTCCCGCCGTATGCAGGTACAGTATTGTACATTCGTGCCCTCACTCCCAGGTCTGCAGTCTCGTTTACCCTGGGATCGTATAAACATCCGCCAGGCAGCCAGATGTCATCTGTGTACCTCACAGACTCACTCTCTCCTCTGCTACGGTGCTACGGCTCCATCACAACCCATCACTCAGCGCAACTGGGCCGGAGAGTAACCCGCAGCCCCAGCCCAGCCCAATGTTTCTCTGTCTGCTCTACATACATACAGCATATGTAAGGTACCATACATCCGCCATATCCCATGGGACACACACACCCCTCCACACCCCCATAAATACGAGCATTGAGTCGCAAAACTACCGTTTTCGGTAGACCGTAATTTCATTTCTCACTCTCTGGCTGGTGGTGGCTTTTGGCCAAAACAACCCGCGGAAATTCTCGCTCTTCCCCCACAAAACGGGAAACGGAAAATAAATTTCGCTATTTACACGCAGCAGCAGCGGCGGCGAGAAGGCGAACGGGCGCCTCGTAATCTCCTATCAGCTCACTGGCCGTGAGCGAGGATCTTAAGGAAATCACTCCCCCCTCCCCTCCCCTCCATTTCATACCTCCGAATATAAATGAATATCGACACGTATGTAGAGTGGGTAGAGTACATGTAGGCAGGTAGTTGATCAGTGATCTTCGGTTAAGTACTACTACCTTCCCTCTCGACTCTATCTCCACTCTACTTAGCGAACATCTTGTTTCAGGGAAACCCATCCCATCCCATATGTCCTCTCCATATATGCCACTAAAACGATCGCCCCCACCCCCCTCCATCTGCCCCCATGGCCGGCCAGGTGCAAGGGAAGGCAAGAGGAAGATAGGATGCAGTACCCAGTTTGCGTAAAAAAGTTTATCTCCACACCTTACGTCCTTACTTCGGCGTAGGTGTCGGAGTTGAGGCACGACTCCTACGCAAACCAGGTTATGGAGTAGTACAGTAACAGCCCGGATCGCCGAAACAGCAGGCAGGCAGCAGCTCTTTGTTTCCAAATCTAAAGCCTAAGCCCTATGTACTGCACCCCACTCTCTGAATCTCTGCACCGGTGAGCCAGTGCACGGATGCTCGTGGGTGATGTGATCATAGGTACCTACGGCTAGGTAGATGTGAGTTAGGGTAGGCCGTGGACGAAGGGCTCTTGGACGTTGACGGTAACTACGGGTCGGTTGGGGCAGAGCTGAAGTTGGAGGAAGAGGAGGAAGCCCTACTCTACCTAGAGGACTAGCTCTACAATTGCTCTAGAAGAGAGGGAGAAGGAGAGACTTTTTAGTGCTTGCATGTGCGGTGTTGTCTTTACTTTATGGAGTAGAGTTCAGAGCTGTATGTGTACACATGGCCGAGTGCTATCGTGGCTCTAGATTTGCAATTGGATGCGTCTGTAGTAGCTACATAGCTAGCTAGAGTAGAATACATGTACCAGACCTGTCCTACATGATAGGGACTGGACTGTCGTAGATAGAGGAGTGGTACCTGTTAGAGAGAGAGCAAAAATACGTATATAAGGTACCACCGCCTCAAATCTCCATTTCCCAGTCAGTTTTCCTGATTACTCCAACCATCAAATTTTAAAGCAGCTGCTCACGATGGGTAGCAACGGCTTTTCCAAGCCAAGCCGAACGTCGAGGTCTAGGCACACCAACCCGTCCACCGTCGACTGTCCACCGGCCGCCGCCGCGCCCACTGACGCAACGAAACAAAACAAAACGGACAGAACGCACAGACACCCGAATCAATCGGATGGCTTCCGCCCACCCTATTTGAGAAACAAAAGGAGGCATGGAGAAACACCCACACTCACACAAACGGATCTGGTTCGGGGGGTTCGGATTATTGATGTTCCCTACAATGATGATGGTTGTCGTGGTGGTTGTTATTATTGTCGTGTGGGGGTATATGATAATTATTGCGAGTGCATTGAAATTTGCTTCCATCCTTCAGCTCAATTCCTTTGCACGATATAGGGAGGGCTTTTTCGGAATGGACACTGATGCATACATCATATTTCGAACGAGGCATCTATTCTCGCCCTGGTTGGTTCAGCTGAGCTGCATCGAAAAGGGAACTGAGACATCCAGACATCACTAAAGATGCACGGATAATTCGAATATGGTCTATAGCCGCCGTTACGTTTCTACGTCCGATATGTAAACAACAACAACAAGCACTCTCAACATGTCAAACTATTGGGCCATTTCCGGGTTCATGCCATCTGGATTTCCACTGCATGATTGGTTTATTGGGTGTGTGTGTTTACTTACTGAAGTAGAGTAGGTACATAGACAATTGACAATATGATCCAACAACAAACCTGGTCATGATTACCGTCTCGAATTGTCAAGTCAACAAACGGTGCATCCGCCTCAATTGGCCGCAATGGCTAACTAGCGTCTTGGTACATGTAGCCTTTCACACTCTAGCTTTCCCTTTCAACCATCCCGCGTTACTTTGCTGCATCACGCATCACGCCGGTCTTCGCTTTAGTGTGCGATTCCGCCCCCGACATCATCCATCCCATCACACCAGCTGCTGCACAGGCGTTCACACAAACCGGGATGTTTGTTGATGGGATTGTCTAAAGGGAAACTCTTTGTCACCGTACTTTGTTGACATGGCAACCCACTTTTCGTCGTTCGCATGGAACAGGTTAAAAAGGGACATCAAAGCTTACTTGCCCCCAATCGTGGGGCTGGGGAAAAAGGAAACCGCGTGCGATTGCCGCTTTCGTCGGCATGGTGGTTCTTGGGCTTTGTTTCGGCGTGTGATTTGTCTGCTAGGAGTACATGGAATACTATACATACAGTGCCAACTACACTACATGAACGGAGCTGTGATAGTTGGTACAGCGACAGCGTCCACGGTGTCCTGAACGGGTGCTTAATGGGAAGGGTCGACAGGTTAGGGGACTTGTGATTTCTGTGAGATTCATCACGCATCTCGTGTAGGCACTCCCAACGAGGTATTGGAAGGTGAATAGGGGATATCTGCAGTACTTGAGTTCAGGAGATGCATCTACTTCATCAATAAACGTTTACGTATGGAATGCGTTGTCAGGAGGCCGCATGATGGTCATCCCATATAGGGATTTTCAAAATGTTCTCCGGGGAAGCACTAGAAACTTCCATGTCATAATCTTTATTTATCTTCCTTGTCTATGTGATTCTCCTGATGCTGCACAGGCAGAGCGAAATACTCCGAAATTGATGGAGTTGTGCATATATGTAGGTTCCTGTTGTATTTCTATATATATATATCAGAAGGTACCAAAAATGCCGTATATGCGAGTGATCACTCATGACGAGAACACGTTAATTGATCGAACTCATGTCGTAGAAGCTGGCCCACAAAAGTCACGGATAAGATGTGTCAATCGTAAGAGACAAGTAAATTGTATTTTGTGATTCTTAAAATAAACACAAGAGGAATGCCAGCGTCTCATAAGAATATCATGGACAACACAATAACTACATACGTATACATGTACTGATAAAGAGCCGGAAAAGTAAGAACGAGCATGAGAAACGGTACCCGAAGAAATACATACATATATCTCTTCAAATCTGCGTGTTGGAATAGTTGAACAAAGCTGTAAAACAACCTTTCGGTGTCGGATGCTCCCGACCTTAATTACGAGCACTTGCTACATATGTTGGAAATTTTATATATCACCCACTTCACTGCCGAGAAATCAAATCACGCCATATAGCTGCATCAACACGGGGATAATCAGAACCATTTTAGATCATCTTTACCTACTCGGACGAATACGCCATCATATTTCTAGGGAGCATTACTTCGATATCCTACGGTACCTACACAAGCATTTAAAAAAGACCGCAGGAATATCTCAATCCCAACGGCTGTGAAATTTACCAAATTTTATAACTGGTATCATATTCAACAGAGTTTCAGAACTGTTCTTGTTTCTTCAACTACGGGCACGAAGACGGGTCCATCTAGTAAATAGATAATAGCTCTTACGATGACGATTGCATGTGCTGTAGTCGTCGACGTCAACGATCATTCGAGGTCTCGAGACCTCAAGGTCTTGGGTTCGGAGGAGTTTTTGTTAGATTGACATATATCATTTCAGAGAGATCGACATCGAGAGCTATATAATATAGATGGTATCGCTAACTGCTCTGAATATATAGTTTAATTGATCACCACCCAAGACCCAATCGACCAATTGAACCTTGGCATATATATCGATATTCCCTAAACCCCAAACGAAACATCCATCACCCGGGCCCTCGGGCAAATTTCAAAACAACGGTATCTTGGCATCCATTAGTAGCATCCATAAAGAATACATAAGGGCCCAGGTAATAGACAATCAACACTCTATATTAGATAACCTACGGCGAACTCCCAATACCCGCCAGCGCCTATCGCGGTGAACCAGTGGCGTCTTTTATCGACGCGGGATAAGTAGGTGTCACTCTACTTTATGCCCACTCGTCATGCCTAGTTAAGCGCCAGAAATACTCGATAGTGCCTTGATTCGCGGAGAGCTCTCATCCCATATCTCGACCAATAACTCGTGCACCATTGTGGCGAATGATTCCAGCCGTACGTTAGGCATATCCGTCTTGTCTGTTTGTTTGGTAATTAACGGTCCCCAAGCCCCCTCCTTTCCCGTGGACTCGGTTTCTGCAGCGTGTTTGATAAGATGGCATGGTTTGCCTTACTGGGCGTGATGATTCGTTACGTCTGCCATGCCTTGATGGTGGTACAATTTTGTTTGGCGGTTTGTATGTCCTGTCTTTGATTTCGTCCCGATCATGGCAGTTTGACGCCTTGTACGACAGGCCGTTTCGCGGTACGCAAACAAAAGCGAGTCATGATCAATCACGCTACCACATTCCCTCCAAACCCCAAATCTCGGAACGTCTTTCCTTGCCTCGTTCCGTCACGCCGAGTGATATCCTATGCACCCACGCATCACATGTGACATGTCAGAGGGGTAACTTTAAGTAATTCCTTACTCAATCATCTAATACCCCGCGTACCTCTATTCTGAGGTGTCCATAGTCCACGGGTTATCTCCTGAACCACACAAGGCAAGGAACCGGAAAGGCGACAATGACGTACGTATCGTCATCAGCGGGAAGGGAAAATGTGGGGAGGTGCTTAAAGCCCCAGAACGCGGGGAAACAGCTAGGTGTCTAGATAAATAAAGAACTATATAACCCACATTCCCAACTCCAGACTACAGTCCAAATCCATCAGCCAATACCCTCAAAAACCCAAGACCCCAAAACACATCCACAATGGCCGACGCAGAAACCTGTCCCCTCAACGCCCCGCACCCACCCCAAGAGGGCTCCATCGTCGCCTTCGAGAAGCTCCTTCCCACCATCAAAAGTACCCTCATCAAGCTGCGCCATAAGCACTCCAAGCACGCACCCGAATATTTCGCCGCTGTCGAGGGCGTGTCAGATGCGGATCTGACTGCGTTTGGAGTCGAGGATCTGGTGTGTGTGAGGGTTGGGACCAGCGCTGTAAGTTCTCTTCTTCTTTTCCTTTAACCAGAGAGGAGTATGGGGGCTGAATGGAAGGTAGTATGGGCTCCACATATTCGGCAAGGTGCGGCTTCCAAAGACGCAGGGCGGGTATATCCACGTCAGGATGTTTGTGGGCAGGAACGAGGAGGAGGAGAAGACATATAAGCTGCATTGTATCTACCTGGAGGAGAAGGAGATGGAGGATGGGCGGAAGTCCTTTAGGGCCATTATGAGCGAGGAGGATGAGTTGGAGTGGTTTAACGAGTAGTGCACTAGCCAGTGGGGTTTAGTTCGTTAGCTACAGACATAGGAATACCAGACCGCGAGGAATTAATTGGGAATTGAAAAGTGCAATGATTGTGTTTGCATGTATTGTTTTGCTTGCGCTCATAATTGATCATGAAGCTGTAGCGGAGCTATCGTGGAGCTCAAAAGCTCAAGCTTAAGCTCTCCACCCCACTATTGCCCTGGGTTAAAAGTTAGTGCGTACTACTTACACACCTTGGCAACCGCCCACCAACGCGTCTCACGCCGGCGCGTCTCCCCACTTACAATACCTACTACCATTCACCACACACAATGTCCTCCGACACCGAAGTCGACGAAGCCCTCCGCGACGTACGCTTCCTCTTCCTACCCCTCAAACACCAAACACTCTAAATAACCCAATTACACTATAAAAACGTATACTAACCTCCCCACCCGTCAAACAGCGGCTCAAATCAGCCCTCTGGTTCACCATCGGCAAGATTGTCGACACCGAATGTGTGGCCCTCCATGTCAACGCCACCCCGCAGTTTATTGCGGCGCTTACAGAGCTTGTGTGGGCGCAACTCGGTCCTCCCCCCTCCAGTGTAGACGTCGGGTGTAGACATCAGAGCTAACACTCAGCAATAGAGAACGTTGGCCGCGACCTCGAGAGCTTTGCGAAGTACGTTACTGTCCTATCCTCGACTCGTCCCTATCCTACTTCCTGTCCCAGTCTTCTAGAGTATATTAGTGATCCAAATACTAATCCGCGCGGGACACAACAGGCACGCAGGCAGGACCACGGTAAACACCGACGATGTGCTGCTGCTTGCGCGACGGAACGACGGGCTGGAGGAGCTGCTGAGGGGGTTTGTGGAGAAGGAGGTAGCGGCGGGGAAGGGGGGCAAGGGCAAGGGGAGAGCGAGGTAGTGTAGGTAGTAATGAGAAGTTGTGGATCGAGCGACTAGTGGTTGGAGTTGGTGTGTGGCGGGGCGGTGGTGAGTTCTGCTGAGATGTGGTGAGTGATGAGTGGTGGTGATGTGGTGATGTGGTGAGGGACGTTATGAGTTTGTGGTGGGGTAAGTGCTGGTCTGTGAAGGGCGTGGCGGGTGGTGGGTGTCTGGTGGTGGAGGACGAGTGGGACGAGTGCGTTCGTATGATGGACTTGATGAGTGCGTAGTTGGGGGCGGGGTGAGACCATGGTATTGAGCCCAGGATTAGAATGTGCCGATTCTATGAGTACATGAGTCTACTACTTGTGCATAGTATCTTGGCTCTCTCTTATTCTACCTCGCAAGCCCGGGCGTAAGAATACTAGCGCGCCCCGGAGCCGGACGTCACGGCGTGAATCATGCGCCATCACTCGCAGTGGACAATTGTGACAGAGAGCTAAGGACTGAAACTACAACTTCTCACTCATAGATGCCATCTAAAAAAAATAAACATATTTCCTTCTACCCGCTCTCTTACAACGTGCCCCTCGACTCCCACACAAGCCTATCTTCCCCCCCACCATCTATCCATCATCAACATGCTTAATTAAGTAGTACCTCATTTTTGCTTGAAAGATAACTACATGTATATCGAGGATGTCACGGGAGACAATACACATAAAAACCACACTAAATACACTACCAGTGTATAGAAAGAAACCCTCGACTATATGCTTTGACAAGTAAACCCTCTAATGCCACATGTCACAACACCGTACCGCTCGTCCCATTCTGAACCAAACCAACAAGGCTACTATCGCGCTCACTGTTATAGTAGTAACACACTGGCCGAGCCATTTCTTAAGGACTACCATTCGTGTTTGTGAATGATGCGGGTGGAGAGGCCCACTATCTGCCGGTATATATATATTCGGACCCAAGAATCTATTTCGGCTGCGTAGTTAACTCAAGATTTCTGTACCTACGCATGGCCATCACTGTTCAACCTGCCCATCATTGACACCCCGCAAACCCACGAACAGCAATGATACGCGCTATTGAAAGCAGTCCGGCAAAAGAGTGAACCCTTATTTCTATCTCCCTTCATTCCGTACATTCCCAGTGGAAATGGTCACGCCATCACGCCGTGACAAATGTCCTTGTGCTCCTGTCTGTTGTAGTTATCACGTTCTTTCTATCTCTAGGAGCCATGTCGCGGGGAGAAGCCCGAGTGAGGGAGATCTCTGGAAGCCCGGGCAGAGGTTGAAATGGTCAGGACCGGTCCAAAAAACTGCTTCGAACTGGACCAGACCATTTTGGAAAATCCTGGACCGGACTGGACTGGACCAAATCATGACGGACCGGTCAGGACCGCATAACTCAACCTTAGACAAATGATAGTAACGAAATCCATTTATTTATCTTTTCAGGCCTCCTCCACTCGAAACTTCCTTAGACTCACTTTTTCTCCACCAAACCACCTTGATATTGTAGGCAGAAAAGGGCTTTGTGAATGGACCAAATATTACTTGGTGGACCGGTCCATTTTCAGACATGGACTGGACCGACTATTTACAGAGAATATTGATTCCGGACTGGAACGACCATCTAGTGGACCGGTCCGGACCGTGTAACTCGCGGACTATATCAACCTCTGGAAGCCCCTCTACGTATATATTTTTCTTAGCCTGTGAGAGGTGTCACTCTGGGGCTTCTAATCCGCGGTGGTCTGTCATATGAGCGACCTTCAGAAACGGCTGTTAAAACCCCTTGCCCAGCTCTATATCTTTCCTGGAAGCCCTGGTAGGTGGAGTGGCCTGTTCAAAATAGGATTAATACGAGGATATAAGTAGTTCGACTCCGATGGGGACAAGTAGATACTATCTGAGGCTACTTCTTGAGACTAGTTCTGTTCTTGCATAAGGTGGGTCCCTCTGAGAGAATATCGTGGCGGTCTGGTGGGGTGTGAGGAGGGACTTATTTAGTTTATCGAAAGATCGAGCCCTTGAGCGGAGTTAGTAGCTGTGTTAAAGTCAGTATAAGTTTACTACTACAAGACAGATATATGCCAAGCCATTATAATTAGAATCTATACAAATACAGAGTTAGCTTTCTGGCGGGTTGATCTGTCAGTATCTTTCTGAATTGAATTGCCATGGGAGATCGTTTTGCTGAGAGAACGCGCATAAAGCAATCATAAACCGTCACCAGAAAAAAAGATGAACCTCAATAAAAACTATTTACACAAAGCACCGAACTTTTCCCAGCTCCCACTTTAAATACAACCCACAACCTCACGCCAACTAAACCTCATTACTAGGGTAGATGACCTTGTCCGTGGGCACAAACTCCTCCTTGATAGATCTAGCACTGACGAATCTCGTCAAGAGACTCATGCTGCCTGCCTTATCGTTTGTTCCACTTGCCCTCGCACCACCGAATGGTTGCTGTCCTACAACGGCGCCGGTGGATTTGCAGTCTGTGGTTAAAACGTTAGATGGCTGTCTCAATGGGGCACTAGAATAGAGGACTTACTAATGTAGAAGTTTCCTGAAGAGTTCTTCAGGCTGTTCTCCGCAACCCTGATTGCAATACGATCATTCGCAAATACACTTCCAGTCAAAGCGTATCCACCACCCGACTCATCAACCAGCTTCAATGTCTGCTCGAACTCTGCATCGGGGTACACATAGACCACCAAAACGGGCCCAAACAGCTCCTTGTCAAACAACTCATGCTTCGGGTCTTTCGCGACATATACGGTGGGGTAGATATAGAACCCCTTACTATCATCATATTTGCCCCCCGTCAGACACTCGAGCGACGAGTCCTTGTTGGCGGCGTCGATGCAGCTCTTCAGCTTATCGAACGACGCACGGTGAATCACGGGGCCAATGAAGTTGTCGAACCCCTCATCGGGAGCACCGACCTTGAGGTCTTCAACCTCCTTCTTCATGGACGCCAGGAACTCCTTCGCAAGCGACTGGGGAATATACGCCCTCGACGTCGCCGAGCACTTCTGTCCCTGATACTCAAACGCCCCGCGCACCGTCTGCACCACCGCATTCCTCAAGTCCGCCGACGGATGCACCACATGGAAATTCTTCCCTCCCGTCTCCCCGACGATTCTAGGGTAGCTTCTAAAGCGGCCCTCAACCACGCCTTCGGCAATCTTGCCATACAGATGGCGGAAGACGGCCGTGGAGCCCGTGTAGTGAAGGGCGGCGAACTCCTTGTGTGCGAGGACGGTCTTGGTGACCTGTTCGGCGTCGCCGGGGACGAACTGGATGACGTTGGGGGGAAGACCGGCTTCGAGAAAGATCTGCTGGATGAGGTGGTTGCTGTAGACGGCGTTGGGGGAGGGTTTCCAGATGACGACGTTGCCCATGAGCGCGGGGGCGGCGGCGAGGTTGCCGCCAATGGCGGTGAAGTTGAAGGGCGTGATGGCGTAGACGAAGCCTTCGAGGGCGCGGTATTCAACGCGGCTATTGGTTAGGGTTGGGGTTAGCCTATAGTCTAATTATATCTAATGTGGGGCCATGGTGGGGTAATCCATACTTCCAGATACCAGCACCGTTCTTGGGTGGTTGCTGGGCGTAGAGCTCTTCAGCATACGCAACATTAAACCTCAAGAAATCTATCAACTCCGCCGCCGCGTCGATCTCCGCCTGCCATGCATTCTTGCCCTGCCCCAGGATGGTAGCAGCCATAAGCTCATATCTGTATTTCCCCGCAATCAGGTCTGCGGCCTTGAGGAATATGGCCGCACGGTCCACAAACGGCAAGCTCTCCCACTGCGGCTTGGCAGCAAGAGCAGCCTCAATGGCCTGGTTGACCTGAGCTGGGGACGCCTGTGATGAGGAGGCGAGGGTGGTCCCGTGGGCTGAGGGGATGTTCTGCGGGGATACGGACTCGGTGGTGATGGTTTGGGAGTTTATGAAGAGAGGGACGGTGATTGGGGCTTTTGAGCGGAGGGATGAGATGGCGGCATCGAGGCCAGCACGCTCAGCTGAGCCTTTGGCGTAGTGCCTCTATGCAGGATTGTTAGTTTCTTATTTGTCTAAGCATGAAGCTACGTCCAATTGCTCGTCTACAAGGATGGATTTAATTGGATTGGATGGCAGTGGTAGAAGCAGAGCCTTACATTGGGTTCGTTCTCGACCTTGGGTACTTTGAAGGAAGCCATTGTTGCTTTTCTTATAGCTGTGATCTTCGAGATGGATGCGAGTCGGGAACGATGGGCTGACGATGATAGCAAAGATCTACTGGGAGCAAGCAGTACAGCTGAACTAAGTGATCTCGTAGATGAAACTGATCTGGCAAACATCGTGGGGTATTGGTGGGTTGACGTAGCTTTATATAGCTTTTAAGAACAACTAGAGCTTACGAAAGTCTCCTGAGGGGAAACGAAAGAGAGAAGCAAGCTGGCACGCGTGCAATTACGCAATTCTACAGCTAGATGCGGAGAAAAGACAAGAAAATCAAGCTGCTACTGGCTGGTCTGTCTGTCACACGCGCAAGGAAATAATAAGACAGAGAAGTAAGAAAGGGAAACAACCGAAGAACCGAAATGTGCAATATCGTGAGCAATTGGCTTGTGTGTGTGTAGCTGATGGGGCTTTTTATTGCTACAGCGCGGGGTCCATCGGTTACTAGCGGCTTGCCGGAATCAAGCTTCGGGAGCAACTGCACTTAGGGGAGTCGGGCACGGCATCACCACGGTAGCAACTGCACTTAGGGGATGTGCCCGAAGTCACCTGCACTTAGGGGAACAGCGCGGGGGAAGCAACTGCACTTAGGGGAATGGGTGGGAAACAAGCAGAGAAACACCACATGCACATCGACGATAGTGGTGGTGGTGGTCCCTGCAACTATCAGACTCTGTTTTTAATTCAGGTACCGCTGTTATTAGCTATCAGCTTATCACCTCTGCCCTCGGAAGATTGAGGGCTCAGGGTCGGAGTCAAGGCCGAATTGTCGTTCAGTTGCTCCTCCCATTGCCTCGAAAGAGGTCCCGTTAGATTGTATCTTCAATTCACATTACGAATTTCTATCTTCATGATGCCGTGTAGAGAAGCGAGGTAGATAAAACAGTCGTTAACCGCCGTTGCGGAGGAGGGGTGAACAACCCTGACCCTACCAACCCTCCAGGATCTATCCACTCTAGATACGAAATATTTACCAAGGCTAACCGCATTTGAAAAATCTACGGGCGAAATAGTAGAGCAGGAACTCTTGGCTTTGGTGAAAGTTGAAATTGGCGCTCTCATACTAATTACTCCGATGGAACTCTAGAAGTAGGCGATCGAGTGAATGGAAAAGTTTTCTACATGATCATCAAGGATTCACTGCGCCGCGGATAGGGGATAGCTATAGGAAATATCGCCGGCTTCTAATATCACACCACTGCGGCGTGACATCACCGGCGTCTATCTATCTATGTTCATCGAAGAAGAAATTTCGCAACCTAGGATTTCGAGGACGACGTCCATTGGCAGAGGCCTTTCAATCTGCACCGAAACAGGCGATATACTAATCTGCAGGGTGACAATGATAGGTTGATATGAGGACAACTAACTAACTATCATGAACCTAACTGTCTTGACAGCTTGTGGATTTCGAACCACGTACTTCTTTTCAATGTCGTTGCACCGCCATATCTGGCTTTTGCATACTTTCGCTGCCTATCGCAATACCTGGTAGCTCGTTCTCACCAAAGACTCCGCTTTCATTTTTGTTGCTTTTTCTCCGTGAAACTCGAATCAACGAGCTCGATTCAGTAAAATGAATGCTATCTTTCCCACAAGGCCCTCTTTAACTTTAAGGCCTTCTGACAGGTCTAAAGAATACATCTTAATTCTACCATAAGCCTACGGCCGCTCCATATTCAGATGATATATGCATAACAAGTTCTCTATACATATGGTTAATTCTAAGTTCAATATTAATTATTGACGATTCCAACATACATTCTTTGAATAGCGAAGTCCACGAGGCATACATATAAAACCTCTGGCATATGGAACTTCTGTCTTTTGAGAGTAATTATTTGGCCTTCTCAAGCAATTGAACTAAAATTCTTGCCTTGAGTTACTCGAGCCGTTCGCTAGGCGTATAATGTAGATTATTCAACCCCTTAGGCTCGGGCCAAACTCATGTGATATCACCGCTGGAGTTATCATAAGAAGGTCTCTTCGGCGAATTTCTACTAACGACAGTATGGATACGCAAACTTTGGGCAATTTAAGGTGAACCGGAGAACTTACTACTCTAGATCGTGATGGCCGATCCTGAGATAATTATGCTAGCTTTGGTAGGTTATGTATTGATTGGGTTCACGAACGGTCCCTTTAGTGAACGCCTAAGTAAGATAGCTTTTAAAGTGCTGTATTCGCTAAAATTTCTTGCTTGGTCTGTACACTTCTCGACCCAAAGCGCCAATCTATCTAAACCGAATATCTCCACGTTCCCATTTCAAGCACAAATTTTTGAACAAGCACCCATTTTCTGCTCAGTTAGCTATACGTTCTCCAAAGAATCGACCAATCAAAACAGAAGAGGGCATGTTCTTAATCACTTTTTTCAGCCATACCCATATCTAAAAATCCCCACTAAGCCTCCCAAGCCTCCTAGTACTCGCCATCACCCTATTCAAAGTACGAACACTCTCCGAGAGACTCCTAACCCAATCCTCGAACTGGTGCGTCTCCTCGGTGTCGGCCTCGCCACTCGCAACTGTGGCAGAAATTTCATTGATGAAACGAGTACAGTCCATCATGAAGACCAGTCTGTGTAGATGGAAACTGCCTCGAGTGAAAGGGCGAGAAAATAAATAATTGCCGACCTCGAGTGGAGAGCCGCCGTAGATGAAGAGGTAGATCTCCTGGAAGCGTAGGTTGAGGTTGAGGTAGGCAAGGTTGAGATGCATGTATCCGGGGCTGATGTTGAAAGGCATTTTGGCCTGGGTTGCCTTTATGTTAGTTGATGCTTTTGGGAATTTGGGGGATGGTTATGGGGGGGATCAAGGGGTGGATGGGTATTGAGGGGTTCTTCGAATTCATCAGAATATCGAACGAGGAGTGAAAGAAGATGATGAGGAAGATCGAGGAATGGGTGGATATTGAGGGAATGTATTCATCGAATTTATCAGAATATCGAATGAGGAGTGAAAGAAGATGATGAGGAACTTCTTTAGTTCTTACTGGTGTTCTTGTTGGTTTATTTTGATGAATGACGATGTTCGTGACCGTGACTGTGTGGTGGAGTACGTTCGTTTGTCTCCAAGTCGTATCCCCAAGGTTTGGTACGTAAAATATTAGAAACAGCCTCACGTTGCCAAGGACGGTTTCCTTTGAGTAGGGCTCCAGACGCCTTTTCAGTTGGTAGACTTCATAACACGCAGGGGAGGAAGATGGCCGTGCTGCGTGGGCTTGTCCGTAGATTTGAGTGCGCATGCGCATATCAAAACAGACATATTGTACTTGAAAATGGTGTATGTGGTGATAGAAATACTTTAGATTCCTTTATCGTCTCTTCGACGTGTATCCTTCTTACTTTGGCCCTTCAAACGAAGGCATATATCCTCTTGCTTCCTCTGTAGACATGTAAATACTTTCAAATCTGGGCTGTCGGTTTGTGAGGCCTTCGGTTCTAGTCTGAACGTAGTCTTTATGAAGAACATAGATTCAACGAGAATCTTTTATTTGAAAGTATATAAAATAAAATTAAATAAATACCATCAGCTCTATTTTGCAATGCTCAAACCGACCGAGTGATATATTGTGATGCTCTGGGTCAATGAGTGGGATGGAAGCTATGACGTATTTACGTATTTAAGCACACATTGCACTAACATTGGCGGGTAACCGATATACTGATCAGTAAAATTAAGCCCTACACACCTGTTTGTGATTGTTTGGTGTACGACGATGTACGTATCCGCTTTCGTATGCACACGGGTGCTTAATTCTACACAGCCCGCGCATGCTACCTGAAGTTTTGAATACCAGTAGTACCTACACTTCGAACGAGGCTACACGTATATATCTATCTCACTTTCTCTTATTATCCAGGTCTAGTACGATGTCTTCCAACGTATAGAAGAGCCGAAATGCCTAAATTCGTCATCCTATTACGGCTACATTGTAATAAGGCGTAAAGTAACAAAGCCTCGTCTGTAGGTTACATAATCTATGTAATGGTTAAATGTTTCGTGAATGATGCGTTATACAATCTGCAGGTATATATTGCAGCCATTTTAGAGGAAACAACGAAACTGCATGTGGTGAACGACAAACAAATATGCCAAGACCAGTTTATTCCAATGTTTTCAGAGAACTGTTCCAATTAGTTCGGTGTTTGTAACTCCGTAAGGGCTTAATACCATTATTCATTCACGGGATAATGACGAACACAGGTTGTTGACGTATGGGCCTGGGGACTTCAACGAATCGGAATTTTTAGAAGAATTACTAAGTTCTGGAGCTAGGTTTTCCCCCGCATATTTAGAATCCCTGTCCGCCAGCACCCAGTGCCTATCTTCACCTCGCGAAGAGCGGATGACCCATATTCACTTTAGAGGGCGCAGTAAATTAGCTCTTAGCCATTGGGACAGCAAGGAAAATGCGGTGCCAGCCAATCAAGTGTCTAGATATCAGCTTCAGCGCTACTGATTTTGACTGTCCTAGATCCTTACGTGTTACTGAGTCAGGTCCGCTGCTGTCTCAAAATCACGGTGCTTCTCCTCACTCATGCTCTGACTCTGTACAGCGATTCACAGGCATTTGGCGAATACACCCATTTGGCGAATTTGTATGTAGCAACCAGCCAGCAACCAGTCAAACTGCGAGTTTGACTAAGATATCCTGATTCTTATTGGCCGTGGCCCCTGTTCGTCAAATGGGTGTATTCGCCAAATGCCTGTGAATCGCTGTACCTTGCGATCCTCAAAACGACCTATCCTTCCTGTTTTTAGGATGATGACTCATGACCGAGTGAGATGCAGTGATTACCAGTGCCAAGCCACGCAACGTCGTCAGATTGAATAACGACCGCAGCTAAGCCTGTACAGTCCCCCGAACCACTATTTCTTGAACTGTACTAGTAACTTTACTGCGACACCCTAGGAAGTATAATGCGTATATAGCTACTTGCTAATTGGTTCTTGTAGACCCTGTCACACTCAAGTATGTCTCTTTCAAGAAAGAATTCCCGAATAGTGAGACAGAAAAGTCCGATGGCCCCGAGTTATTTTATAAAAATCTCCGATTGGCTCAACCCTAATCACTATTCATATACTACCCGAATACATAACTCATAGAAAATCTTACGGACCCTCCCCCTAACTATAAGCTCGGAATTAGATCTCATACCTTTCCATCAACTGGTTATTCAACACGCCATCCGGGAAGTCATCTTCGCCCAGCGCAGTAGTATGAGCCCAAGGCTTCTGCCTGTTCTCCTCCCGAATAGTCGCCGAAAAGCATGAGCTCCATTTCAACCTAGGATATGCCGCTACCACGTCGTCGATAGTACCCCGGTGAACTAACTCGGGATTGATACCCATATTATCTATTCCGCCCGCCCGCACGGTAAGCACTGAACTTTATAGATCGCCCTATGTGGAATGTGTCATACCAAAAACAGTCGCCAGCTGAATCAACAATCCCAAAGTAGTGATTGTCCCTACAGTCCCCAAGTCCTGGTGCCTAATGATCGCCTCTGTGACTGCCTCGGCCGTGTTCACATCATCCTTAACAAGTAATCCGTGGGACAAAAAGCCTCCGTAAAACTCAAATGACATCTTAGTTTCCGACATGTTCTTCTCAGTCGTTCCGATATCGTGGAGAAGGCATGTGAGGAAGTAGGTTTCTGCTGATAGATCCCAATCGGGGAACTGTTGTTGTTGAATGACACGTCCGTAATAGTAGACGCGTATTGAGCTGAGGGCGGTCGGTTAGCTTCGCCTGTCTCTGTCTGCCTAGGAATGTGACGGGATACATACTGGTTGAATGTCTCTTCTCTTAACTCTGATTTTGCATACTCTAAAACACGCTTCGCGAGTGGTGTATCTGGAATTTGGATATCGCTGACCATGAGGGGGGTTGGTTCATGAAGATATTTCTGGCCCTTGAGAACGACGCTAAAGTCGCGTGGGACAGCAGTGAATCCGTGTTTACTCATTTTCTTCTTCTTTTTCTTTCTTCACAAAATCGATATCAAGCCTGTAACTGCTCGGAGCACTATTGTTGGAGGAGGTGGGTGCTAAGGCTTTATGTATCTCTCAGAACCTTCACAATGACGGATGCCAAACGTAAGCACACCAGAAACAACACTAGCAACTGCAGTAATAGCAGAAGGCGTCGCTGAATCATGTGTAAAGGGCTCCCCCACACTTCTCTTTGGCTAATTGTTTGCGTTGGGTATCTATGCTAGAAGAGGTGAGGTGAGGTTAAGAACAGATGGATAACGTCCGTGCAGTGTTGTATGACGTCATTCGTCAGGTACATTCAAAACACGTCGTGTCGACTCCACGGAGGGTTTCATCCGTTGCGGTCCGAGGCGGCTCACAGAAGTGCACGAACCAGTTCTCTCTGAAATTGCATCCTTCATCTCGCGTCCGTAGAGCCCATGTATCCCCACGGTGCTCTGCGCAGTGCACACGAAGGCGAGGCTTGGCTCATGATTGGTGCTGGTTTGTACGGTATATACATACTCTACGTGAGTGTCAATTTCCGGGCCGGATCAATGGAAAGTGGTAAAAGAAAAGACCAATCTTACGGTTACAGAGCTATCCCTTTGTCCCGCGTTCAACTCAGTTTTAGCGCGGAGATATTCACCAGGCTAGCTGTTATCAAGGCTGTAACGCTGCCAAAATAGTAAGAATCTGCTCCAAAGTAGAAAAGATCTGTTGATGGAGGGGTGACGGGCGTGACTTTCTGTGGATTTGCAAGAAAACCTGCCTAACTGCTCCACGCCACAGTGCTTGAAAACAGAGGAAGGAATCGACCGTAAACGAGTTAAGCTAAAGGGTGCAGTTTTGCAGGCACTGATTGGCCACCAAGTGCGCATTCGCCGATGAAACAAGTTTTCCACCGCCCAGAAACTATTGGTGGGTGACAGCTGGAAAGGTATACCTTCGCTTCAACACCTAAAAATTGGGCTACTAGATGGTTTTAGGAATAGTGGGAACCAAGCTGGGCGATAATATTACTATAGTAGGATTAAAGGTTTTGCTATCGCCACTTTGAGTACTGCGATCACCTCTCCAAGTCTAGCCGTTAAGTGTTGTCAGGTTGAAACCAGAGTACCCTTCCAGCTGTCACCCGCCATAAAATGGAGGAGCGTTCGCCATTACTAGTAGTGGTTTCGCCATTGGCCTATATAGTAACGAGTTTATACTTATATTATTAAGCCATATATATAACTTTGAGATTTTGAGAAAAATAACAGGTTTCCAAACCACAACACATTTCATCCGCCTCTTCATTGAAATATAACATTATAATATCTTGGATAAGATCTTTCTGAGGATAATCATAATACAACACGGCATCATAGAGTAAATTTAGGAGGTAAAAGAAGGGAAGAGAAATAAAATTTAGAGAGAGAATGCTAACTATTACAAAGAAAGAATGAGAAACACCAAAGATAAAAACCCAACGAAAAGAATATTATGATCATGATTGTGTACATCGCATTGGCGTTAGTATGTATATGAAACGTAGGTGGAAGGGCTCGCCGAAGAATTAAGTGTTCTCTATTCTTTCTCTGCTTTTTCTTTCGGGTACCGATCAATTCAAGCTGCCAATTCCGAATTCGCTACTTGTGGGTATCCTAATATCACTTGAAAGGAAAATCGCGAGAAATATCGTTAATAATTAGTTGAATGATCACACTTTTGGAGGCGCCAGACCAGCAGGCTCAGGCGATAACTCTGGATGTTGGCTTGGAGGT